GATTTGATCACCCGCTGATTTGCGAACGTCAGTCACAGACACAAACTTTCTAGATCAGAGGTAATCAACCTGTTCAGCCCATGAATGTGTGAAACAAAATAACACCTACTCAGCCTGGCTGGGTGATGATCAGCTATGACAAATCTTCTTCTCTTGGTTAAGGTTTATCATGGTATTATTACTAACATTTCAATAAAATAAACTGCAAGAAATAGTTTTTTATTGCGTCAAAGTTTTGTTACCAGAGAGATTCCACAAAACCATAAAGAGCATCAACCCCCAGATAGACAACCGCCGCCTTCACAGTGTGTGTTGCTCAACCACAAGTTTGTCCACTCAGGTGTGCTGAACCTTTCTGGCTTTCACGTGTAGAGAAGCCAGAGGTTTCCATCAAAACCCAAACAGTACGTTTCACTCTAAAGAGGAACCAGCAACGGTGGCATGTCAGCTTTACACATTTTTCAACACAGGGTTTGCAAATGTGAAAACGAGAACATGTCAACCAAAGCAGAATTCAGCATTTCCTCAAAGCAGAGTATCGCGCTGAAATGAAAACCCCTTCAGTATAGCAGTTAATGATGCTCTGGCTTTTGTGAAAGTCCATAAAGGTTTCTGGATTTGATGAAAATAAAGTGAGGGAATGATCCGTCCTAACATTAACACTAAGAGGTCGTGAGGAAGACTTTGGGATGTAGATTCTTAGCAGCACCTTTAAAATATAAAACAGAGTTTTTCATTCAAAGTGGGTGGCAGGCCTTCAAAGGGGGGCACCAAACTGTTCCAGGGAGATTAGTTATCAAAGGGAGATGACACAGAATATTGGTTATTGTTCAAAGATACAGTATTTGGGGTTGTTTGGGGGTGTACTGTCTTTCCCACTTCACCAGAGTCAACAATTAATGTCTTGGGAGAAACCTTTTATATATTTGGTGAAGTCGGAAAACTAACCAAGTAAACTAAGGGGTGGTGAGGGGAGGCCCGCAGTCTCAGACTTTGAAAACCTCCTGGTATAAACTTCATCTTTTGCTAAACAAATGCCACTGTAGTGAGCAAATGATGTTTATGGGAAATGATAAAACAAAAGTTTAGTTGTTGCACAAGCAGATTTGTAAGTGCAGTCAATCTAACTCAGGTGTCAGTTTTACAGCGATGTCTATGTAAAGTTTGACAACACTGGTCGTCAAGACCAAGTAACATCATGGAGCAGCAAAACCTCAAAGTGGACAGCCTTGAGTAAGCATGTGATTTATTGCGCATGAATTAAACTTTTCATTTGTAAGAGGAAGAAGGTGTTTTTTCTTCTTTCAAAAGTTACACAGTGACACTCCAATAGTCGCTGCTGTGATCACTGAGAAATAAAAACCAGGTAAACTCTGACTCCTTCCCCCGAGATGGTCATGTTTGGGTTATCAGACCAAAATCCTTTTCCTACACCAAACCATGCCACTTTCAGGTTCACATAAAAAGCTCAAATGCGTGCGAGATCCTTGATGTGCTAATTGCAGTTTCAATGCAACCTATTCTACAGAAATGTACCAGGTAAAGCACTTACTTTGCCGCAGAGCCAAACTGTTTCAGGAGGCTGAGAGACTGCCGGAGCATGCTGGCAGAGAAGTCTAAGCAGCTTTTCTGTCTGACCTTCTCAGTCTTGCTGAGCCCCACAAGGTATCCTGCTCCAAAAACGTCCACACAGTGTCCAGCTGTGTTATTTCATCAGGGAGCGATGGTACAGACTGGCCGCCTCTGCCTCTGTGGTTGTTGTTTTGTGTGTTTGTGTGTGCGTGTTTGGGTCGTCAGTTTTTGTTCTTGTTTCAGGAGTGCGCTCCAAAGTCACATCTAACAGAAGCCAGAGAATGAGGAAGTTGCACAGATGAAGTGTTAGCCGTGACGGGAAAGCGAGATTTTGTTCAGGTTTGACTGACACTATTGTAACTACAGTGTACAACACATGTCCACAGAGCAGAATGAGTGATGTGATGTTACCCCTGACATTACAGAGGTATAATAGTGGAGCATTTGGTTTTTATTCAGTTTTTCAGGAGAACAAAACATCAAAATGTGCATAGTATCATTCCTTTGGCTGCACTTTTAAAATTTCCTTCTGGCAGGTTGTGGTTATTATGTACTTCTGTAAATGCTAACATTATGTGCTCAACAATTAAAAGGATGTGAAAAGACCAAAAGAGGAAACTATCAATTCTGCTGGCTGTACTAAAGTCCTGTACCCAGTCAGTTTAAAAAGTATTCTTATTTCAATGTGGCTTTTTTGAAGCCTCCGATTTGTTGTTGAAGTCCGGCCTTTCCACCAGTTTTTATTCTAGTCTCTCATTATTTGTTTCCTTTGCCAAAGGTCACATTGACATATTACCTGTTTTCTGCTTAGCTTAACTGGTTAGCAAACAGCTGCTAATTTAGACATCCAGCAGATATGGAGTGCTTCTTGTCACTTTGTGAATGTAAGTCCAATACTTACTCTCATTTTAACTGTTTTTTGTGTTCACCGACTCCTGGGCAGCACTTCTGGCTCTTTAATTTTAGCTCCACGCTCACTAGCTACTTGCTAACTTTTTATCTGTTCGCCATGCTGGGCAAGTAGCATACAGTCAATCTCTTTTTCCCCCTTTTGATGAAAACAGCTGCCTGCTGCAGCTGACAAACACTATGAGAGTGAATAAAAATTGTAAAGCCAGAAAACCAAAACAATAAGCTGATAGTTGTTAGAAAGCTCTGTAGACCTGAGGGCAACTGCAAGTCAGGTGAATTCTCTGCAAGTTCATCTCTACCCACGACCCCTTTTACTATACAAGGAGTCATGTGAGCCATCGTAAATATAAAAATATTGATTATATCCACTTCAAGTGTATTTTAAAGTCCGGGAACATTTTGAGCCAAGAGTGGCTCACTATTAAATCGTGTAATTTCCTAAAAAAAAAAAAAAAGACAAATCTTTCAATAAACTAACTTTTAAAATATGCAGGATAATGATTCATAATAATGAACAGTTTTCAAAATGTCTTTGATTGTTTTACAATTTCATGGTGATATTACATATTTTATCTGAATTGATATTATTCCTTATTTCATAATGTTATATACATATTTTTCATACTGAACACTTTGAATCTCCGTAAGCGCAGGTTCAACACTGCATTTTTGCAAAGATCAATATTTAAATGTTTCAGTGTATATAATATGGTTAGACATCCAGGATGTAATGGGAGTTCATTTGATTAATATACCTGCAATCTCAACCCTGAGCCAAAGTTACAGTTCTGCCTGATGTATGTGGGAACAACTGGACATCTCCTAGTCCCAAAGTTTGGAGTTTGTAAATAAACACAGCGTTTCTGTTGATGATGTCTGATCTTCTTTAAAAAGCATTCACTTTTGATTGTAGTAAAATGCCATTCAACTTTAATTCCATCAGATGCATGTTCAGGTGTTGGTTGTGCTAAACCTGGTCACATGCTGCAGTCTAGTGGTGCGGCTGGGTCATACAAGCGGTTCGCAAATTGCTCCTGGACTATAATTAAACTTCAGCAGTATTCAGTGTTGATACACTAAGTAAACCATCAAAACTTGCAGGTAAAAGACACAAGAATGAATCCTAACTTCAAATTCCAGCTGCTTTAGGCGAGCAACTGAAAAAACAATCAGCATTTACATTTTGAATATAAAACGCAAAAAGTCATTGATTTATTAATGAATTTATTTTTTTAAAATGACTTCAAATACATGATGGAAAACATGAATAAATTTTTACTCTTACTTTTTTTTTTTGGTACCTCCATACTTGAGGGACTGTTTTCCTGATCGAGGCATTTCCAAATCCACCACATACCGAGTACTGACTTTTGTGTACACCTGTGTAAGTGTATCTAATAAACTAACTCCGCATAGGTTCTTTGTAGCACTTTAATAACAGGAGAAAGACAGTGAACTGGTCTTGTGTAAACTTTGAAAAGGCAACAAAAGACACAATCCTTCCTACTGAACCACAGAGGATCCCATTAGAAACAGGGCAAGGCCACAGTTACTGAGGCAATTTGAGACAATGCCTTCCAGCACTGATATTTAACAACTTAAAAATGCTTATTATAGGCAATTCAAGTAATATTCCTTGTGTTTTGAGCAAAAGAGAACAAAAACACATTTCGAAACATGTTTGAACTGACAGCAATAAGATGATTCAAGCGAGAACAGTGTTAATTGGGGCAAAAGATCCATGAAAAAGCAACCGAAACTAAATTTCTACTTGTGTTGTGGTAGGGCAACTACTTCTTCCAACTAAATTGAAAAAAAAAAGGGGCTCAAAACAAGGCAAAACCAACACTGGGACCAAAAAAAGAAAAGTTGGTGGAAAAAGGAGAATATTTGAGTCAGGTTTGGATGGTGGGAAGAAAGAACATTTCAAATCAAAATTATACCAATGTCTTGTGCATACATATCCACAATATAATTCCTATTTATCAGTTTATCCTCTGAATAGTGTTCTTTTCTCCATCTGTCACTGATTTGCGTTCTTACTGTACAAAACAGGCGAGATGGAAGGAAAAGTGAAGCACCAAAAAAATCCTCATGCCCGCTCACTGTAACATCTGTTCAGTCATTAAGTAAACTTGCATTAGGTAAGCTTGTAAGGATAAATCAAAAGGAATGGAAATAACTTCAGCAGCTTTAGAATTAAAACAATGGTGGGTGGGGAAGAGTAAAGAAGCAGTGAAGCACTTGGAAAACCTGCGACTGTCTCCTCTTAATTTTAAAGAAAACTAGAGGCATCCCAAATGCTGAATTCCTCTTCATCTCGCTTTGCTACACCCGTTTCCCCTGTCCTGACCACACTTGAAGAACCACGTCCCTCTGATTTGAAATGAGGGACGGGAGTTCAGGAACACCCCGGATCTGATGCCACTTGAATTGGTCCCCTCTCCTTCCTCCTCCTCCTCCAGATCTCCTTCTCTCTCCATCCCTCTGAGACTGAAGTGCATATTGAGGTTTTCAGATGGACTAGCGCTTTGCTTTGGCTTCTTCAGCTTCTAAAACATAAGAACCAACATAGAGACTGTGTAAAGCTTTGAGTTTCAAAATGGTTAAAAAACAAAGAACAAAAAAACCCCACAACTGCTCTGTAAATGATCATTAAGAGGAGAGCATTCTCAATAGGGTTGGGCAGTCTGTAAACCTGCATGCCGGCTTGTTAATGACGCATCAAACAACCAAAACCAACATCTGCACTCACTGTGCATTTACTGATGCTTTCCCTGGTCTGTGCTTGTAAAATATCCACGACGACTTGTAACGCAAGTTAATAGTTACAAAGTAGGCTACCGCGTTTTTTTACTGAGTGAAGTCTGTGTGAGTGAACACACACTACACATATAAGACGACCGCTACACGCACCCCACCCGATGTCATTGTCCATCCCGATGACTATTCAAACCAGCAGAATGACCTTGCTACTGAATTACAGACATTTAAAAAACAGTCTGCAGGTGTGTGTAATCAAATCAGCATACAGTTTTAACTTTACAGAACTGCTGGGCGTGTCGAACCTTCTCACCTTTCCTGAGTTCGTCCCTCTTCTTGGCAGCGTCCTCCCTCTGTTTCTTGATGATGGCCAGTCTGGCCAGGTCGGCTTTGGCCTGGTCAGTCTTCCCCTCAAGATGGAGCTTCATGTAGCGTTCTTTTGATTTCTGCTTCTCTATCTCCTCTCTGACAGAGAGAACAGGAGGGCATAAACATGAGATAAATTAACTGTGAGTGTGTAAAACACAGCGTCGGTTCGCTTTCTACCTCTTTATGGTCGTAAGAAATTATTGACTTTTTACTTGTTGTTGCAAGTAGTTACAGTAACGAGCATAGCTTTTGTCAACTCAAGTAACTTCACCTGAGACACAGAGAGAAGGCAGCAGCCTGTTAATAAATAAAAGTCTTTAGCCCGGGAGCTCCTTTAATATCGCGTTTCGGTACCCATCCCTGAATAAAATTAGTTTTCTTATTCATCGCATTTCAGGCAGTCTTTTTCAGGCATGTGTTTATCTTGCATGTTCACCACGCATCACGATGACAATGAAAATACAATTTTTCAGTCAGCAGTACAAAACACCGCAAATACAAAAAAAGATACCTTTCCTGCATGAATGTGAAAGACCTACCTCTCTCTGCGAGTCAGTTCTCTGGGAGCAGTGACGTCTACCTCAGTCACCTTCTTGCTCTTCTGAGACACACGGTTGGGATTCTCAATCTCTATAAGCCCCTCCACTCCACTCCTCTTCCTGGACTGTGTGTAAAAAGAAGCACCTTTGTAACATCAGTGAAACAGAAAACAATCACTGCAGACTGGTGAATAATGGCAGAGGCTGGTAAGCTTGTTTGTGCATCTGCTACTGTGGCTGCTACTATGCCCAACCATAGCTTGGGGGTGGTTTTATGACTCAAAAACAGATATACAGACCAGTTTGTATTGTTTGTGTATTTTCTTATTCCCTCTGGACAAAAGTATACAATGTTACATAAGGATGTGTTAGAAATTAAATACTTGTCCCAGGTACAAAAGAGTAAAAAAGGTAAATCATCACAGAGTAATTCCCGCATCTCCCACATCAGGTGCATGTGTCTAATCCACTGCGGTATCTCCATCCTCCTGCCCACACTCACCTCAGATTCATCATCACTGCTGCTCTCAGACTCTGAAGAGCTCTCTTTCTCTACCCCACCCTTTTCCTCCTGTAAATACAAACATTCAGTCACACCAGGCCTGGTTTGAAGGTAACTTCACATCGGCCACAAGAGGTTTTTCACTCACCAACTCTCTCTGTGCTTTCATCTGTCGGTCAATCTCCTCTGGGTTGCTGAATTGCTTCCCTCTGCCCTTGTGGCCCTTTTTCCCTGTAACACAGATGTCAGAGTAATCACTGGCAAATCAACTGTATCCAGCTGTTTTTGAGGTTTGTCATTCTGCGGGCATGTTACAAAATTTACTAAACCATTTTCAGTACACGGACACATTTACAGTAACTACATCCACACATGTAAACGGTAACAACTGTACAATGTAATAGGATTAAATGCCTGGCCCTTGATTAAATACTGCCTTCATTTAGCATTTTTTTGATACTGAGGCCTGGACATAAACACAATGATAGTCTCTTGACATCCAAGTTTGTGGTGATGCAATACTGGATGGCATCATCTGGTGCAAGTGATGCTGTTATGTACATCCGCCCATCTGTCCCTAACCACTTCTGGGTGATAAAGTCCCAATACAGTTTAGACAAGTATTTAGAGCTGTAGATGTAAGATCTCATGCTATTTTAAAGTGTGAACAGGCGCCCAGTGTGTGGTGGGAGACGCACATGACTCATGTTCAGTGAGGGCCAGCTCCTTCACCGGTAAATGTCACGGTTAGCGAGTGTTAACTAAACACAGACAGATAAATAGCTAGGGAATACTTTACTTAAACATTAACTGGCAATACGGACAATCGCCCTCTAGCTGAATTAAAATATATGATAATGCAAATAAATGTTTAAGCCGAAGCGATCTCCTTTGCACATGGTTAACGTTACGTTAACTTGACGTTCCTTGCGGTTGAACACAAATGCTCCAAGGTCTAACAATTCAACCGGTTTTCGATACTGAAACGACCAACACTCTGGTAGCTGTATTCAAGCGAACACATTATTGACCTTTACATTTGCGGTGTCTTTCATGAATCGCTCATACACGTAAATGCAAAATGCTAACCGGTTAGCGTGCTAAAAGCTAAGCATGTGAGAGTTCAACGGGAAAACGTATTACTTCAGCTAACAACTCGCTAGCTACAATTAGCTTGCTAAAATTCGCCTTTTCCATGGTCTTTAATTATAATACTTACCGCCCCGAGGCATTACTAAAAGTGAAGTTAATACAGATGATACCCGCGACAATCTGGCTGAATATTCTGACAGTTGTAAAAGCAAAGCCGGCGGTTTAAAGCGCTAGAAGAAAGGGCTAGAAACTACTTTGTCTCGTCCGCTGTCGGAGGCACGAACGTCGAAAAGCGGCATTTACTGCCCCTGCGCAGTAAGGACAATTCAACCAATCACTGCACTGAGCATTTGACTGACATATCCATCCGCCAATTAGCTACAGAAAAAAACGCTTTCATAAGACCGCTTTTTAAATACAGGATATAATTATTATGCGCAGTCCTGCTTGTAGAAAATTAAATTGTTTGGGAGGTAGATTCTAACAAAAACACACAAGTTTCGAGATCAATTTCACAAGGAATATAAATATGATTATTTCATCAAAAATATTGGTAATATTACTAGGAATATTATTTAGGAAGAAGATAAAAACTGATTTTCTGTCCTGGTTGATATATAAAAATGTTAAGTACATACATTACATGACCTCATAGTAAAGATGCATAAATATTACTAGGATTTTGACAAAAAAAATATCTCAATATGCTCAATTTCCACTTACAGATCTGTTGTTTTTTGGTCAAACAACTGTTCCCAATGTCAAGCATAAACTCAAATTACTAGGACTACGCGGAAGAAGGCAACATTGCTCACATATTCTGTGGAGCTCGATGAGAAGTCACGATACTTAACAAATTGCTATTCTGTCTTAGATTTGCGTAGTTTGTAATTCAAATCCCTGTTATCCCGGTTTTCTTGTGAATGTTTCACTGGTTACAACTCCACAAGTTTTACTTCAATAAGTGGTTAGGGTAATATTCTAAAAACTGCGAACTGGAAAAAAAAACCCTTCTTCCCCGTGGCAGATTTTACTTTTAATCTAATTTTAAAAATTCAAAAAAATGTCTGCCTACACTTGGCATACAGATGTAAAGCACATAGAAAATATGCTACGTATTGAACAAAATATGCAGATATGAAAATACACAGTTGTTTCAGATTTATGGTGACATAGTTAAACAAATCGACTGAAAAAAAAACAAAAAAAACTAGTCACTAAATCTGATTCAGTTGTACTTGCTTTTCAAGCCAAGTCCAAGCAGGGACCCACAAGAAAAATGACGACCACTTTTTTTGTATGTCTGTTCTTAGTAGCAAATAACAAAATAATATTTTTTTCCATCAACAAACGTCAAACTCTGAATTAAATACATTTCCTATGATGCATCAGATCAGATTTGTCATTTCTTCCTTCGATGTTGAGTTTTTATATCTTCCACTTCTTTCTCCATCAGGTGGTACTCAACGGTAGTCTCTGTCAACTAGAAGGGAAAGATCTGTTATTTAACAGACCCGGTAAGACACATAATTACAACATCATAAGGGCATAATGAATGCTGGTCTTACCATGTCCAAGAGAATATCAATCTTTAGTTTCAGGAGGTTGTTCTCTTCCTCCAGCTGTACATTTCTTTTCTTAAGCCGCTGCAATTCTCTACCAGACCCATTCCCACTCGATTCTGGTTTAAAAAAAACATGAATTTATGTTGTGTTGGCCATTTAGGGACCAACAGCGATCAAGCAGATTGGGCAAAACCATAGGGCAAAACATGCAGGGGCAAGAAAATGGTGAGTTTTGCTGCACTTAAACTGGAAGATGCCACTGCACTGGTCTGTATTCAGCATTGTCGAAGTCATTACCTGTTATCCACTGTCCGTCTTCAAATTTCCAGCTCTGTCCGCCAATGTTCATCACGGGAGGTCCATACTCAATGCCCAACTCTATTTCTCTTGTTGAACGATCCAACTAAAAGAGAGGAGAAGGTGAAAAACAATATATCAGTCTGCTTACATATTGAACAAGTGCTAACACAATGTCAAGCTGCAGCCCCTTTTGCACAATTCACATCTCAGCTGTCTCACGTTCTTTAATTCGTTTGCTTTTGTTTATCCTCTAGGTTTATCCTCTTGTGTACATTTAATAAAGGCATCAATGACAGATAACGGTATTGCTATGGCTTTCAATGCACATGATTTAAACTGTGATTTCAGCACAATGAAGCAGCCCATGAACAGTTCTTTACCGTTAAACTTAAGTTACCGTGTGAAGGCTGGACAGAGATGCAGATTTGCGAGGTGGGGTCTTCTTCGGACTAAATGTGTTTCCAAAGAGAGGCATCTTTTTAAGGTCCTGTATAAAAGACGGCACACCAATGGTAGCATTAGTAACGTTATTTAATAGATAGCAGTATCACGTAACGTAGCTACAGAATGTGTTTATCGTTGCTAACGGTACAATACGGAGCTAACGCTAGGTGACTAACACTCGCTAGTTGTCGAGTACTGCTCATACCTGACACTAGTGAAATTGTCGACTGCCTCGCAGGTGGGTTAGTAATTGTTGTGCCACTGCAAATATATAGCTAATATATTTACCTTCATACAGGCTATTTATTTAAATTCTTAATGTGTTGGTTGAAATCCTTTCCTCTCCAAACAAAACCATGCTCGCTACTGCGCAAGTGAGGAAGTTGTCCAAATTAGACAACACTAAATATTGCCCAGCTTTAAAATAACGCAGTTGGAAAGGATTTGCCAACAGCAGTAAGTTTGATATATTTAAATTGTAACTGGGAACTTCGATGTATGGCGTTACATGCACATTTTAATAGTCAAAGTTGCATTAGGATAAGATAAATACCCCTATTTAGGGGAGATAATGGACCCATCCATGACACGTATGCGCATCACCATGTTGATAGAATCACTTTTCCAAGCATTATTTTCCTTTAACATATTGTGGATCCAGTTAAGTTACCAAAAATGTTGTTTTACAAAGTTAGCTTTTCAAATCTGAGCTTTTAAATAATAAAAATTGAGACACGAGTTGTCGTCGGTCCTGTAGTCCTGATTCAAATCAGTGTGACCCCGCCCCTCTGACACATAGCCCCAGTGGCCTAATGGATAAGGCACTGGCCTCCTAAGCCAGGGATTGTGGGTTCGAGTCCCGTCTGGGGTGAATGTTTTTTCTACAGGAAGACGAAGTTGCGTCACTGACTTAAACGGGATGAAGACGAAGGAATTCAATTACTGCACTCCCCCGATGAATAGTCAAATTTGTTGGAAAAAGCGATCTCAGAAAGAAGCAGACAGTTTTGCATTTGCATTATACATTTAAAGGTTATATTCAGGCTGTCAAACGGACGTCAAAAAATGAAAGCTAAAGCCTATCAATCACACTGTACAAGTGAACTATCGCATGATTGAGACTAAAGACAACTATATTAAGGATCAACACTGTTCCTGTAAAGCTGGGTAGGCCTCTATTCATTATTACAATCATTAAAAAGCAGAACAGTAACGTTAGGGCTTTATTACTTTACATTCAGTAGGAAGTTAGCTAGCGTTAGCTAACTAACATTAAATTAGGAACAATCCACAGCCGACATTTTTCTGGATTTATTTTAGGTTTTGGAAAGAAAATAAATCGTACTTCTCCTATCAACCTCTCTGGGTAGCGACTGTATCTATTACAAGTGCCCAAGAAACAGCATTTGACCACATCTTGGAACAATACAGCCAGAAAAAGCTAGAAAACGACTGTTTTTGCTTTAGAGTCAGTGGAACGCATCCACGAAAGTGTTGGACCTCAGTTAGAGCGAGTCCTATACTGCGCTGTGATTGGCCAGCTGTGTATTCGGGGCGTGGCTTAGCGAAGGGTCAATTAAGAGCAACCGGAGAACAGCGCTTCATCGGTTTGTAGAAATCACACTTCGTCGCCGTCGCTCTCAATATAAATCATCACAATAACAACATTTAGTTATTGAAATACTAGAGATTTGCAGGAAAACATCAGCTGACATGGAGAAGCAGGGCTTCAAACTGTGTGTATTACTGCTGAGCACTTTGGCTGCATCAATGCAAACTTACCGTGAGTAACATTCCTGTGGTATGTAGGCTTAAAGTTACTTATACCGGACGGAAACTGGTTTTGAATCCAATATAATTCAGTTAAACCTACTGTTGAAAAAGAAAGGATGTTAAATGGAAATTGCGTATAGCAAACAGATACAGTTCATGATGGCACCTAGCTATATGTTAGCTTTTATAAAATGCTAATTTGTGTTTGTTCCATTCTGCTCTATTCTGTTTCCAGTTAAATAAAATAATATAAATTCGAACATTTTGAAATATGAGCAATTATATGCTCTTTAAATGATTTGTGTTGTTTTATGTTCACTAAATGTTTACTGAGAGAAAACTCTGAATGTTTCCTTGTATGTGCAAACTTACTCATCTAATAAATCAGATTTAGTTTCGAATGGTAAATTATATTGTACCTGAATTTCCATATATTCATATTAATCTGATGGAAACCAGTCAAGCAAATAAGAACATGTAAAAACCTTTCCTGGTTCATTCTATGACATTATCTTACATAATGTGTGTTATCCAACCTCAACCCTGTAACCCTGTCCATCCTCCTACAATGGTAGAGCTCCAAGAGGCCACCGTGTACTGGGATGCTGCCCAGAAAAGTGTGATCTTGAAGGAGGGGTTGATGGAGGCAGAGGGGGGAGCCTATGGTTACTTCAATGACACTCTACTCCTCTCTGGATGGGGTGTCTTGGAGATCCATGCAGGTCATGGGGTGATCACACAGGAAGACGAGACAACCTTTTTCCTGGCTGGGTACCTGGAAGGTTATCTCACAGCTGAGTGAGTGTCACAGGTCTCCTAGTGAATAAAATGTATGAAATATCTCAAACCAAAACTTTGAGCCCATGGAGTCTGTCACTAGTTCTCTATCAACAGACCTTGATACCTGAACACATCACCAACACAAGTCTGTGTTCTAGATATTTAATCAGAATCAGATAAGCCCAAAATGTATTCAGTTCAGGGCATACTTTAAAAAGGCACATACAAACATGCCATCTCCCATGAAGGATAAATTGTCTGTGTGGGCCAATCAGCTTATTTATATAACTTTCTTTTACTCTAAAGGTGTTTTGTTCCATTTAGCTTAGTCACTCACTGTCACTTGGCTTACTGAGACACATTCGAATAGAACAGAGGCATACTAAATGTATGTTATTAGCAACACGTGCATTTCCTACTATGGCAGGCTGAAATGTGATAAAGGAATTTGTTGTAAAAGACAAAGCCAGTTAACGTTCCAAATGAAAAGAAGAACTACTAGATTACTTAAATAATAATTTATTCTAAATTGAATTGCTTGAAAGAGCGAGGCAGCAACATTGCTTGTGTTTTTAGAAGATTTTTTATTGAGTAGCCTATATAAAGCTGAAATATATTTTCCAAACATTGTTTCAGTGAAGTGGTTTACATTTCTTATTGCTGTATTTACCGTGTAGCTTATAGTTGTAAGTCTGTGTTTACTTAATGTCATGTTTCTTATTTTTTTTATCCGCAGGCAGATGTTCAACCATTACTCCAACATGCACCCTCAACTAATAAAGGATGAGAAGGTTCTGAATCCCCTGCAAAGGTTTTTAAGGTACACATTCATGACTTACCCCAAGATTAAACTTCAATATACTGGCAGAAATTGGTTTGGTACTGGCTTTAACTTATCGTCTACTCTTCATATACCAGTAATAATCTATACTAACTGTAAAAATCATGTTATTCATGCAGCAATTGTTGTAGTTCTGAATTTAGATGCACAGCAATATCAACCAAATGCACAGATTAGAAACAGAAACCAGCCTCCCAGCTCTCCGCTTGATCCACAGCAAACAGGACCAGTGGGCCAGAGAGCAAGTGAAACTGAGGAGATCCAGCGACCCCTTGTGGAAGCATCTGGGACTGATCCTGGCCCAGCTGGACGGACTCCACGCCGGAGCAGCACAGTGGGCCAAAAGCAAACACAGAGAGGTGTGTGTGTTGGAGAGATGGTGAGAGAGTTGTCACAGTATCATTTCAATCATCTGTCTGTCACTCGCTCTCTCCTTCCTGCCCAGCCTCTATCAGCGTTCGCCTTCCAGTTTCTGAATGGTGTTGGCGACCTCCTGGACCTTGTCCCAGCTCTGACACCTCGCTCCAACTCCTCCACAGGGGCCGCCACTTTCAGGATGCCAGGAATGGGCCACTGCACAGCTCTCATCAAGGTTAGGCCAAGCTCATTTGGCTCAAACTGTGAGGGAGCATTTGGGAGGCCTCAACGTAGGCCTAATTAGTTTTATTGTCGGGACTTGTGCGTGGGTTTTCCTCCTCTAGTCTGTCAAAATGGCCATTGAGATGGGGACAGTTTCTCTTCCATCTACGCCCATTCATGTAACAAAGACAAATAGAAGTGATGCAATCAGAACACCAGTCATTAGGTTTTTATGAATGAGATTTAATTTCAGTAGCCCAAATGTTGCCCTAATGATTTATGTGCATAAATTTAATTATGTTTATTTAAATGTACTTTACTTAAGTTGCCCCCAATTGAAATAAACTAAATGAAAACAGTCTGTATATGCTTATTGTAGTTCTAAACTAAAGCTATTAGACATACCAGTAATGAGTGAAATATTAAAAAGTTGGTTTCCTCTGCGTCAGCTGCAGTTGTTGAAACACATCATGACAAATAAGACATTAAAATGTTAAATTACAGGGTTTTATGGTTGTTCAAAGGGCCATGGTTCGCTACATGTAAATATAGCAACCTTTTTCAAATCCAGTCTTTCTGCTCATTAATGACAAATGACAAGAAATCGGGTTAATTACAAACATGACTGAGAATCTACAGCCATCTTAGCGAGAGACTGAATGTAGGCTCAGTGTTGCTTTGAGCTAAATGCTAATGCTAGCATGGCAACATGCTACCATATTCATCATCTTAGTACAGCTGCAGGTGATTGGAATGTCATTAGTTTTGCAGGTACTTGGACAAAAATTTGATCATGATCATGCTGATCAAACTGATCATGGTGCTAGATGAAAAGTTGAGGGATTGTTATTGTAATTAAAGAGTAAATCTATTTCTTTTAAATAGCATGCATGCCCTAAATAATAAAAAAACTGTGATTAATTGCATATATATATATATATATATATATATATATATATATATAAAAACATATAGCACAATATGCACACATCCATCACCTCTCTGTCTCTCTGTCTCTGTCTAAGGTGCTGCCAGGCTTTGAGAACCTGCTGTTTGGCCACTCGAGCTGGTATACGTATGCAGCCACCATGCGTATCTACAAACACTGGGACTTCAGGGTGTCTGATGCACACACCGCCACTGGAAAGATGTCGTTCAGCAGCTACCCTGGTACACACACAGATATACTCAAACACACACACACTTGCACAAAGTAGAATTTCACACATATGATACTGCTGTACAAAACTGTATTTACAGTTTCTCCTCAAAGATCATAAGAGGCCTGACATGGCATAAATAAGGCTGGCAGAACTGAGATTTCCTGAGATTTACATCCATGAACCTATGTTTTCTGAGTACATGACCTGAATTTTGAAAGGAGTTTTGTCGACCTACAGCACAGCAAAGCACTGATTTCTTGTAAAAGCTGTGAGCTGAGGTGAACAGCTTGTCCTTAATCCACATGTTTTATTTTCATCTTGGAAAATATAAACACTGACATCAAGGACTTAACCCAAATCCTCAATGAACATTCTCTACTGAAAGTAATTCTTCTGCTAAGCACATGGCTTAGTCAGTGACTAAGAAACATCCACCAGAGTGTTTGTGCACACCCAAAACAGAGCTATAATGAAATGTATTCCCTCTCTGTCAAGTCCGAGAAGGCTGAGTCATTTTGTGGGGGAGAGTGGTCCAGGCCATAAAAATCCTCTCACAGGCTCCATTGCCATCAGAACACAAGTGGTTTTAAAGCACTAGATTTTTAGAGGCCGCCAGGCCAAGGATATCACTTCACTGTATTAAAATGAAGAGAAGAAATACGCGGTGCCACTGGAGGTGGTGTGTGACCCCTGCAGCCTTCCTAAGCTGCTTTCTCTCTGACCATGTGAAACATTTAGCACACACAGGGATCAGGGCTAAACAGAACCAGAAAAGATGCAATATAAATACTTTATGTAGAAGTAGAAATAGAGGTGGTCGAAATATTCCTCTCCCGATTTTTATTATTGATAGCAGCAGGAATGTATATTCATTATTAATAGTAGCAGCAGCATATGTAGTAGTTATAGTAATATAAGCAGGAGTAATAAGTACAATTATTTATTCTTTCTGTATGTAGTAGTAGTAGTAGTAATACCAACATGTATAATAGTAGTATGATAGTAGCAATAGGTATTTTTGGTAGAAATAACAATAGTAGTAACAGTCTTCATAGTACTGCTATTAATACTCTTATATACTACTTAAACAAATTATAGTTCAATATTTTAGCAATGATAATTTCTTTCCTGCCAAGAGTTAGTAGATTAGCGGCTAGCCTGGCTCTGCCTGATGTGTCTCTTTAGTTTAATGGCATGCACATTTTGTGACCATCAGACAGAGCTAAGCTAAACAGCTGCTAACTGTGGTTGTTTTTACCGGACAAATGTGGGAGTGGCATCGATCTTCTCATGTAACTTTCTGCCAGAAGCGTATTTCCCAAATGTCAAACTATTTCTTTATTAGCAGTAAATTTGTTGTTTTGGCCACTTGTGGGCAGCAGAAACACGCTGTGAATGCAACACTTAGATATTATCACCTTACATGTTGATAATGCAATCTTGTTAGCGTACAGTTGCTTATTTACACATCCACCAGACAAGGAGCAAAATTATCATTCATTTATTTTTAGTTGTCTATCTGTCCACCTGATGAATGTTAAGTCCAGTATTCACTCTCCTTTTAGCATTGATTTTGGTCCCCACCAACGCCTGAAGGAAATATCTGTCTCTTTAGCTTCTAAATGCTCCACATTGTTCACCAGCTGGCCGCTAACTAAGTCTATCGCTTGGTGCTGGACAGGTGGTGTGCTTTGAATTTTTAGAGATTCTTTTTACTGACAACTGCTGCCTGCTGTTCCCAAAAATGACAACACAGGAACAGAGAGTGAATCAAAACATAATCATTTGTTTTGATAAATCTTTATCTTGTAACCAGTAATTATAGCTGACACAACAAGTGGGAGAGTAAAGCATATAATATTGCCCTCTGAAATGTAATGCAGTGGAAGTATAACTAATATAATATAGAAATATTCAAGTAAAGTACAAGTACCTCAAAACTGATAAATGGTCATACAACTTACATGCAACCTGTATGTTGTAGGTGAGGATAAGACATTATCTCCTCACAGCTCTGTTTACTTTTCCGTCCTTCTCTGAAATATTACTATTTTAATATTAAAACATTCTTCTCCTCTCACTGCCTCTTCCGTCCTCCAGGCTTCCTGATGTCTCTGGATGACTTCTACCTTCTTGGTAGCGGCCTGCTGATGACTCAGACCTCCATCGGTGTCTTCAACATCTCTCTCTACTCCCAGCTCAGCCCTCACAGCCTGCTGGCCTGGCAGAGAGTCCGCCTGGCCAACAGCCTGGCGCACAGTGGAGAGGAGTGGGCGCACATCTTCTCCAAATACAACTCAGGTGAAATCCTGTTGATGTGAGTCAAGACAGGGCGGGATTGAGAGGAGTTTTTTTTGTTGTTGTTTTTATTCAAAACCAAAGGTGACATGATGAAGAAGGCGGCATAGAACTTCCTCTGCTCAACTCCCCTTGCTTTGCATGAACAAACCTTTTTATCATACACTTAATGCGAACAAGCTTTAAAAAACTTACTGTAACTTCTGGCATGCCTGCAATGTTAAAACCAAAGAAATGGCTGACAAAAAACAGACTACAGAGTGCCAGGTGACAGAGGAATCAATACATAGATGCTGTTTATAGACACAAGTGTAATTTAAATATAAAAGTAAAGGTGGACAGAGGTTAATTCTGGTATTTTGAGGTCAGTGACTAAATTGGTTCTCTGTGACTTCTACAGTGGATTTCTCCCTGTGAGTTTTGAATGCTAGAAAAAGGCAAAGAGAGAAACGGCAAATTATTGCCGAAACTCCACATTAGCTGTCAGAGCGATCCAACATTGTCACCTCTACATTTTAATGAAACAAGAACAGGGGCTTGTTAGCATGCTCACAATGACAATCAGGGCTGGACTGGTAATCTGGTATACCGGGCAAATGCCCTGTGGGCCGACACACCTTTGGGGCCGGTATAACATAAATTATGTATTTATATAGGCCTAACTGGTTTTAAAACATCAGCTGCAGTACCCAGTACCCGCAGGCACAGGCACTTGAAGGAGTAAAGGAGAGCCGTTGCCACTGCCAGGCAGAGGAGGAGGCATGTGACAGTGGAACAAAGTGACAGGGCCCAGGGAGAGAGACTGCATGGAGTAGCTCAACCTGTAGGGAGGGAGCAGGGAGAGAGGGTCGTTTACACTGGCGACGCTGGGGACATGTAGGCTACCCACCACTTTTAGAAAGCATTTGTTAAAAATTTTCTAAAAACTAGCTTGCACCAAGACATGTAAATTAACAAATAAAAATACTAAAAACAAGACTTACTGTTAAGTGTGTGTGTGTGTGTGTGTGTGTGTGAACTAGTTGAGGACACCGGAGCTGAGCAGGCAAAGTACAGTGATTTATTAAAACAAAGCGAGTGGCAGGCAGGAGTGGCTGAGTCCAGGACAAAAACCAAAAAGGGCATGGAGTACATAGATCCAGACGCAGGCAGATACACAGGGTAGGATCACAGAACGCAGGAGACAGAGCAAGACAGCTTCATGCAACAACCACAGAACTACACAGACCAGGAGTAAAACCCTAAGACATGAACTAAAGCACAGGACTAAGTAAGACAAGAAAGCAGAATGAGAACCAATGCAAAATCTTCACAAGAATAAACAAGGCAAAACAGTAGAACACATGACATGGAACCAAAACAAGACCAAAATCCTTACATCATAACACTTGCAGAAAAGTATGAACTTGGTCTGGAACTAAAATGTCAGAATTCACAAGTTTCCTAAGAGATATAACAGACTCTCAGACCATCCTTCTCATTACACAACATGCAGATGTGTTAATTAGGCAGCTGCTTTGATCTTTCACGTCATGTTGCTATGGGAGGGCAGGAGAGAACAGGACAGAGTGTTCTTGAGACTGATGGTCCTCTAATCTCCCAGCAGCCTCTGCTGTCATACTTCCCATCCTGCCAAACTGTTGTGGTGGCCTGCAGACAGTTAACACGAGAGCCTTTACCTTTGCCTTGGTTACGTGTGTTCAGCCAGAGGTTCCATATCCCTCAGATATATGAAAGACTGCATGTTATTTTTCCTTTGACAATCATATTTTGGAAGCAATACCACTGGAGTTAAACTAATTGTGTAACTTTCCAATATTGATCTTTTTATTAGATCCAACATACTGTATTGGTGGTATTGCATGCCTTGGCCCAAATCATATATGTGTTATGGTATAGGGTTTATGACCTGTACTGCAGCCAGCCACTAGGGAGATGGTTTGACTTCACTTTTGGGGAGCTGTCATGTCCTCCATCTTTTTATACAGTCTGGTTTGGACAAATTAAAATGTCTACTGGATGGACTGGCAAAAACCTACAGACATTCATGGTACTAAGAGGATGAATCCTAATGACTTTGTTGGTGCCCTGACTTTTCATCTAGCGCCACCAGCAGGTCAACATTTTTTATTTTTCCAATACTTTGTGCTTATGACAAATACCTGCAAAACTTAACAACAGCTGTACTGTGTGTTTAGGGATAGTTAGCAAATGTTAGCATGCTAACACTCTAAACTAAGGTGGTGAACATGGTAAACATTATTCCTACTTAACATCACCATGTTAGTATTGTTATTGTGATGTAACCTTTAAGCTCAAATCACCTTTTGAAGATGATTCCTGTTCGCAACTGCAAAACCACAATTGTAGGTCCTTTTTTAAAGTGATACTTAACTTCAAAACCCATGTGGATTCTTTGTCTGTGAGGCCTGAAACAGAGCATGTCCCCCTCTGTACTTTAGGTACATATAACAGCCAGTACATGCTGGTGGACCTGAGCAGGGTTTCTCTAGGCCACAGTATCAGCAATGGAGCTCTGACTGTGGTGGAGCAGATTCCTGGGAAAGTGATGCACTCTGATCAGTCTCAAGCTTTACGCAGAGGTAAGAGACAAAAAACAATTTATTTGTCTGTCTGTTCGGTTTTATCTAGGATGGCTGTATCTAACCTCCACCTTTGGTGTGCTTCATTTGGCAGGTTACTGGCCATCCTACAACATACCATTTCACATCGAAATATACAACCTGAGTGGGTACGGTGTGATGTGGAAGCGATACGGAGAAGACTTCTCTTATGACCTCTGTCCCCGAGCCAAAATCCTCCGCAGGGACCAGGCAAAGGTGTCTGACCTCAGCTCCCTCAAACACATCATGAGATACAACAGTAGGTGCAACTCGATAGATTTTATATCCTTTCCTGAACTTAAAGGGCTTGAGATATATGACAGAAAACACAAACCAATATTCAGTATACTGTTTCCTTTTTCAGACTGTAAGCAGCGTGACAAAAAGTCAAACTGTTCTATTTCAGACTACAAGAGAGACCCCTACTCCAAGGGCCATCCATGTAAAACCATCTGTTGCCGTAATGACCTGAGACCAAGGAGACCACATCCAGGGGGTTGCTATGACACTAAGGTCAGCGGTCATCAGCATATTAGTGCCAGGATAAAGTTTAAGATATGTACTTCAGTGGAAAAATATTAAAGTGCTATTACAAAATATTATACGGAATTGTTTGTAGGTGCATTTGTTTTTGAGTCGGAATAATATCGCCTTTTGTTTGATATTGGTTATTGGCTAGTCACCACGTTCACACAGGTTCTTTCTGTTCCTAACATCCTAAAATGTTTGTAAAACCTGCAATGATATTTTATTGTCTTTACCTGTTTAGTTGAGTCATTTAAAATTTTAATTATATTCTTTGTTTAACAAGATTAAGTCTACAGCCATGCTAGCAGCTCTATGAGGCTGTACGTAGGCACAGTGTGGCTTTGAGCTAAATGCTAATGTCAGCATGCTAACATTCTTACATAATGATGTTTAGCAAGACTGGTCACCATCTTAGTTTAGCATGTTAACATGCTAACATTTGCTAATTGGCAACAAATTACAGCTGAGGCATATGGGAATGCCATTAGATTTGCAGGTACTTGTAAAAGTATGGGACAAATAAAAATTTTGACCTGATCATGGCACAAAATTAAAAGTTTAGGCATCACCAATAGTTATGTGCAATAATTGTCAAAACATTTTCCTCAAGACCACAAATGTAAATGTCATGGTGGGGCTAGAAGAAAAGTCAGGGGATCACCAAAGTCAGGAGGATTCATCTTCTGGGGGCCATGAATGTCCTTACAAAATTTCATGCACTCTTCCATGCCAACATTGCCATCTTAAGAGCCATGCTGCTAGCATGCTGCTAGCATGGTTAAAAGGACTAAAATTTTTCAATCAAATACCCAGAGTTTAGAGTTTGTACACTGGGTTAACCTGCCTAAAAGGGCTGCTAATATGGAAATTATTGTCTTAGTCTGGAGCTTTCTTCAGAGGCTTTTCTCTTAAAAAAACAATATGAATGCTTTTAGTTTTTGCCTTTAAAAATGTCTAATTTAATTTGTCATTTGTCATGGAACTCACATAAGTTCAACCCAAAGATTATAAGTGAAGTAGCCTACAGGTTTTGAATCACTAAACTCCATTAATGGTAACTGCCATTTCTGCATGGATGTGCACAATGTCTATTTGAACCATAATAAATGACCCCACTTTCTTCCTGTTACTTATTTACTTCTTCCTTTGTGCCCCACTCCTTACCCATTTCTGTCTCATGGTCCAGGTGACGGACTACCAGATGGCTGTCCACCTGGTCGCAGAGGCAGTAAATGGTCCCACAACGCAGGGGGGCCTGCGTCCGTTCTCATGGCAATCCTTCAACCTCTCAACTCATCAGGGTCTCCCACACACCTACAACTTTCCCTTTGTCACCATGAGGCCCACACTGCGTGGGCCCTAAGAGCACAGGGACAGAAGAAACCACTCATCCAGTTAGGACAGGTCACGCTTTCCTGTTCAAAACAGGAATCTGAAAAGGTTTTGTCACAACACTAAACATCCTGTTGGTGCACATGTGATGACTGGGCACAGTGTAAAAGTGTGGCAAAATATGATCAAAGTTTAAATTCTGACAAGGCGCACAGTTGAAAAGGAGTCATTAAAGGGTCAAATGTGCACTCCATGTGAACTTAGTGAATTTAGTCGTACAGTCATTTATTTTAAAGCTGATTAATACCAGGCTGAGGAAGGACACCAGCTTGATTGTTTGTTATTTAACTATTTACTAATCCATTAGTACATTTGTAATGTTTGATATCAACAACTAATTAATTTGTTTGTTGTTTTAATAATATGCAATGATTACTCAGGTTTGCACAGGTGTGTAAGGAAAGTTTCTGACTGACTTTGTGTAAATATTAACAATAATAAAGTACCGGTATTCAAATATACCTAAAATGGGTGCCTTTTCTCCTTTATTTAGTGTTCAAAATAGTTTTCCAAAAACTACAAGATCCAGTTCCTATGGTCTCTGTCAAGTTTGCCAGAGAGAACAAGTCCACCCAAAGTCTTTGCTTTCAAAATAAAACGTTTAAATTCACTTTTCAGAAGAACTGCTAAAAAGCTCAGCCACATTGATTCATTACACTGTCACCACATGTGATTGACACTACAGGTCCTCCCTCTGAAATATATATTTAACTTTGGTACTTGGTAGGAGCATGCTACTTTTGGAGAATTTGCAGAATAAGTCCTCTTACTCAGTCTGCGAAGTAAAGCCTGCATTTTAACCAGTAACTGGCCTAAATCACAGCAAATATGAAACTGAAATTAGTTCTTTATGACAGTATTCATGCAGAGGGTGCGTCAAGCAAGAAGCCCGATTAAAGAATTTTCTGAACTAAAGCTCAATACTCTATACTGATGGTTAGGTTTGCTGCACAAATGTCCCATATGACAGAGGTACAGCCTGCTTAAATATCTAATAAAACCAAGATTTCTATCACTTCATATGCGCATTTCACATTGAGAGTTGGTCACTCTAGATTGGATAAAGCTTTTTGACACTTCGATTTTAATGGCAGATGTGTTTTTTATGTCAAAAACAATAGCAGAACAGAAACATAATTGCGAGGGAGCATGACATCCATAACATCCATATCACAAACATTTATGGATTATCGACAGCAGGTTTTTAAATAGTAAACCGGCAGCCAGATCCCTTATTCCAACAAACATGTTTTACATTTTGTGTCTATGAAGATTCTCAGTCATCCAGGTCATAGTTATCCAACGAAGGTTAAAATCAAGGGCAACTGGACTTGGTTGAAGATACTGGAAGACGTTTCGTCCCTCATCCAAAGGACTTCTTCAGTTCTGACTGACTGGCAGGGAAACTCAGCTATTTAACCTCAGTGGGGTCGTTGGCCCGGGTCATCGATACCGCTGGTTCGTTAGTGTTCCTTGTTGCTGTGACAACAGTCGTTAAGACTACCTGTGGCCAAGACTGAACGACCATCGTTGGTATCTTCACCTGAGGCCAATAGGTTACTTTGTTGAGTTTCCTGGGAAGTGATGAAAGGACAGCATTGTAAGTGGGGGATAAGTGGTGGCGTAGACCCCCTCCCCTGTTCAATGACGGCTTCTCAACCCTGGTGTAGATGCTTCCTTGACACCTCTTTCAAACCATCCATCTTCTCTGTCTAAAATGTGCACCTGGTGGTCCTCAAACGAGTGTCCTCTGTCCTTCAGATGTAAGTAGACTGCAGAGTCTTGACCTGAGGAGTTGGCCCTTCTGTGTTGAGCCATGCATTTGGGTAGTGGTTGTTTAGTCTCCCCAATATACAGGTCTGTGCATTCCTCACTGCATTGGACCGCATACACTAGATTGCTTTTCTTGTGTTTGGGTGTGCGGTCTTTGGGGTGTACCAGCATCTGTCTTAGTGTGTTCTTGGGTTTAAAAAACACAGGGATGTTATGTTTGTTGAAAATCCTCCTGAGTTTCTCTGATACTCCAGACACGTATGGAATCACAAAATTACATTTTGTCCATCTTGCAATGAAGCACAATTCTCAATCTTAGTAGGTAAGTCAGTCTGTCTGCTGTAGTTTACTCAGCCTGTGTGCTAGTGGGGAAGGAGCCTTTATTCTGAAAGTACTCGTCGGATGTACTATGTGTCATTTCCGGTATCTTCACGCGGCTGATCTTTGAGTTTGTGCGGGTTTGGGGCGGAGCGTGCTCGGTCGGTTACGGTGAGAAGAAGCCGAGGGAACAGCGGACACAGACGGACACCCTCTCTCGTTTTCACTTCGTGTCCCACGGTTGTTTTTCCAAATGGCAACGACAGCGGACGACCTGCGGGAACCGGCGAACGTCGCCGCGCTGTCGCCGCAGCACGGCTGCCGGCACCACAACAGCAACAACAACAACAATAACAACAACAACAAAGACAGCGAGGCGGGAGAGAGCGCGACCTCCGCCACCGCCAGCACGACTGAACGGGACGGGTCGGCGTCGCAGAGCATCGGCAACGGCTCGGTCATCAATGCCACCGGGGGGAGTAACGGGAAGTGGGTCCGGCTGAACGTCGGCGGCACCGTGTTCCTTACGACGCGGCAGACCCTCCTCAAGGAGCAAACTTCGTTCTTGTACCGGCTGTGCCAACAGCAGGACCTGCACTCAGACACGGTGAGTCCTGCCAGGACACGTTAATCATTCCCGGGGAATGTTGCTTCACAACAGGCGGTAAAATACCGGGTCACACTAAGTCTGTGTCCGTGTCACTAAGCTAATATTGACCTCTACATTATTGAGTTTGGTAATGAGTTCATGTTCCTATAGTTTAGTTATGTCGTATTATTATTATTATTTGATTAGCATTACAGAAGAAGGCTGGACCTGAAGGGCACGAGAAACCCGTATGTTCCCCTCTGTCAGGTCTAAATGGGCACAGAACCAGTGAAAAACATTTTAAAACATTCCTGCAGTGAATCATGGTTGCTCACTAATATAAACTCACTAAGACATAGTGATAATAACACTGTTGTACCATGACAGGTGGTTAGAGTCTGGCTTGATATGCATTTGTTTTATCCAAAACATACCCCTGTGATTTATTTTGATAAGTACTGGTGGGTTGTGAAAGGTGGATTTTCTCTCACCTGACCAAAAGGGAACTATGTGGGCAGGTAAAGCCCGTTTTTGGCCTGAGACAGAATGGTAAAATAATATTTACTGATTTTTTTTTTATCTCCTAAGGTCTCACAGTAGCTTTAAAGGGACTAACTTTATTATATGGTAACTGTGTTATGTGTGATCCATTCCAAGAACCTATTACTACAACTCTGTTATACCCCGGAAATGTAAGCCTGCAGCTCCAGAGCTCGCACAGAGTTGTCTAATGACCAGCTGATGTATGTCCAGTATGAAGCTCTCCCACTCTCTTTTTCTCAGCATCATTTCGCGTGTGAATGTAGCTCGGGTCAGATGGATGAACACGTGCCTCCTCTTCTGCAGGGAGCTGCACAGTCAGTAGCCATACAGCTGGCATCTTATGGGGAGGGAGAGAGAGATGTGTATTGTGTTTCTACCAGTCACACAGAGACTGAACGGCTGGCAAGACCCGTATCATGAATGATGCAGATTTCTATTATCCCGTGGCCTTTTGATATGCATGTGTGTGTGACAGAGAGAAAAGGGGAGCAGGTCCACCTCGCAGCCAGGAGTTCACATTTTGCTGCTGCTCGAAAATTAGTCCAATCACAGTATGTGTCATATTATACCACAGCATCAACATGCCTTTGTGAGATATAGCAAAGTAGAAAGCTGATGGGAAATGTGTTTTTTTCTTACTCTTCTGTCACAGTAAACTGAATATTTTTGGCTTTTTGGTCGGACAAAATAAGACACTTGAAGACGACGTCACGTGGGCTCTGGGAACATTTGATGGGCCATATTCAGTTAAATTAAAATGAAAAAGAATTTATAGGTACTTCATCACATTTTAGCAAAAATCATATAAAAATCCATTACTGCTGTGAAGCCGTCCGGCTCATTGATTTACAACATCATCCATAATTGTCTAATACACCCAGAGGGGCTAACTAACGGGACAAACTGATATCTGAGAATATCTGCCTTTAGATCATCTCACAGGATATATACATTATCATTTTGCCAAATCCTAATCAGCTCGTGTTCAGCTTTAGATGTGCAGGGTTTAACAGAGTCACGTGCTTTTGGTTGGCAGGAAAAAAAAAACTCAGCAGGAGAGCAGATAATTCAAAGTGACTGAGCCAAAAACAGCCACCAAAACTGGAGTTGGGAGGTTTTTGCACGACAGCCACAATGACTGTTCCCCTGCTGCACCGCAAGGCTCTGTGGAAAGACTATTCCCATGTGACCTTCAGCCGCGACCTAACAGGAGCTCCCTCTGCACTGCCTTAAGACAGTCACACACCAAACCACTCTCATGCGCTAAAACGCACCTACTCTCTTTTGTTCCTTCTTCTCGTCGCTCTTGTCACCGTTCTCTCCTCATCCTCGCTCTCAGCAGCCGACACACTGTTAATGCTTATAGCCTGTTTGTCCTTTTTTATCCACGTCTTTTATTTCTGCTCTTTGTTGCAAACTCTTGAACCTCGAGAGGCACAGAGAGACTTTAGTGTTTTTATTTTCTAGGTCCATCACGCAGCTGTCATCCTAAAACAACACTGAGCTGTAGACGAGGCTCTCAATCCTCTGTCATCCTATGAACATGATGCTTTTTGTCAGGCCTCTAACATGAGTCAGTATGTTTTATTTATTCATTAGTTGATGGTACAAATGGCCAAATTGATCCTAGAGATTTGTATCATCTCTTGTCTGTTCTTGTTAATGTTTCTTTGTATTATAAAACACACATTCTGATTTTCAGTCAAGAAGTAAAGAAGATTTTACTGTGCGAAAATATGTATGCAGAGCTGCAGTCCAGTAGCCAAAGGAAAATGCAGTTTGGTTAGATAATCACTATGCTGCTGCAAGTCACAAGAATAATTACGGTAGAAATGTGAAATCACGAGGGAAAGGTTTTAAAAATGTGTTTTTATTCAGTGGTTTTACCCTTCAGAAGCCTCGTGACGAATACAAAACATTTTTTCTTTTTTAAATCACTTACACCCTCTGATCTCAACAGCTATGAATGCACACAAGCACGAATGATAAAACAGACTGGATGCAAAGTTAACAAAACAAAAAAGATCTGTCTCAATGGAAAACCTTTAACCGCAAGTGCTGTGTATTCGTCTCTTGTCAAACAAGCTAAAGGGTGTAAACCCATTAAAGTTAATATTACGGACCAACGAGTGCAAGCTGCCGGCTAAATTTGAGCCGCATCCTTACATCACAGTACTACAGATCGATACCTACACAACAATAGACGTATGGCGTGACGTCGCTTTACCAAACTTTCCAGAAGATGATGACAGATGATATAGCACAGGCTGTTCAGGCCACTTCGCCGAAAATGAAGAACACCTCCACTAAAACTAGAAAAGGTGAATTTCATCGTCAATCATTTTGTTAAAAAAACTTTTGGAAAAATTGTTGCTTTTGTTTAGGCCATCATCTGCTAACTAAATGGATCAAGAGACCAGATGCGTCAGGATCTGGGTGGGTTATCTCCTCTGCCAAACAATTTAAAGAAGAAACCTGTCGTTGAATTCTTGCAGTGTTCCTTGTGCTATATAAGGGAAACAATGAATTGAACACACTGAAAAATCCTTTCCCCAAACTAGGGCTTTAAGTAAGGATTATTTTTCATTGTCAACTAATCTGTTGATTATTTTCCCAATAAATTCGGTTAGTTTTTTTGGTCCATGAAATGGTGATAAATGTCAATCAGTGTTTCCCAAAGCTCAAGATTTTTTTTGTCCTCACCTCGAAGACAGTTTGCTGTCACAGAGGAGGAAAGGAAACAGAAAATATTCACATTTATGAAGCTGAAATCAGATAATTTTTACTTTTTTTTTTACTGCTGCGATGCCTCCTACTTCAAAAATGTCACTGGGGCTGAGAAGTCACTGGTTCAGCCAGACCGTCTGTGATATGTGATTAATTATTGCAGCTCTTCCCAAAACTACGCCTGGAAAAGCACTCTGCACTCTGAAGGGGCTCAGCGAGTCTTTCCCAGCAGACACCGCTGCTCAGGTTGTTTAGTAAACAGAGCAATCTGAATCTGAGTCACACAGAGAAGCGGTTCAGTCTGTGCGTTTTCTTCTCTCCCTCCGGAGAGAAGCTGATTTTTATCCACACTGGTCCCCCTCTAATCCGCTGACGTTGGCGTGTTTCTGCTCAGGGGTTCGTGGCTGTTTTTAAACGCATATACGTGCAGATTGTCTGGCTGTGTATGACTGTTTTAATGAGATTACCAGCACCTCAGCTGCCCTGCCCCCTCACCGGACCAAACCCAGGGCTTTCTGCTGTTAATACGACCCGACTTGACCTCACGCCGCCCCAAGCCGATTACATTTTATAGCTAAGAGTCAGCATTGATGATGCTAGGCGATGTTAGCTGAACAGGTGTAACGGGGCGGCCAGTTCCAGACTGTAACCACATAATCGTATTACCACAGATTTGTGATTATCAGTGGTTTGATTAATATTAAGTACTAAGGGGATCGGATCATACCGGTGAGCTGTGATGGTCTGGTGCTGTAACGTGGGTTACCTGTACACATGTTCAGGCATTTGTTTTTAGTTTGGAGCTCTGTGGAAGTCTGTCCCATCTCACTGTGTCTGCATGGATGCCACCACATGCCTGGACTTCCTTTATCGCCTTATCTGTGCTGTGGGAGATCCAATATTCTAAGCACTGACGGGGATCAGTGAGGTTTTCATTTGAATAAACAGTACAGAGTTGTGTGAACTTGTCCATTTCCCCTTTTTATCAGGATACACACTTTGGTTTGAGCCACAATAAAAGACCTTGTTAGGTATTTAGGTAGAATCCAGGGCCAAAATTCACAAACCTTTCCAGGAAAAAACAAAAATTTATCACCACAGTTCTTTATTATTTCCTTAACTGCTTTGGTATTTTCTCTATTAAACTTACTGTCTTAATTAAATAAACAAAATGGAAGTACTATAGGTTGCAATTAGGGAGAAAAATCCAATCCATTCACTATGCTTATAAACATGTAGCTGCCAAGATTGCTGGAAAAAACCCAGTATATTTTCAGCCCTATTCAGATAAATTTTACACACACAAGCCTGCTGGGGCAACGTCCAAAGCATTTTTGTGATGAGGTCCCCAGGAATTTAAGTCCAGAAAGCTGTCCCATTCACCCAGCGAGGAGCGGAAGCACATGAAATCAAATGTGTTTATCAGTGTGGAGCTGCTGCGATGCCTCCTACATCAAAAATGGCACCGAGGCTGAGAAGTCACTGGTTCAGCCAGACCATCTGTGATGTGATGCCGGGGATGATGAATTAGGCTGATCCCTAATTAGAAATCACACTCACGTTCAGAGTATTTTCACAACTCTTCAGATCAGAGTTACATGGATAGGTCAAATGCACTGTATATTATATCACAATGTATGCATACGTCATAGTCACAGAGCAAAGCCTGCAATATAAAAAGTCAATTTGAAATTAAATGTAGCAAACTTAGCATTTTTTATTGCTTATTTTTATATAAATATATTTTATTTATTGTGAAGCCTCAGAGTCTGATGAATAAGCAACTAAATGTAGAGATTTTTACATTTGTAGTATCAAAACACACTGGGGAAGGTACCGGGGTGCTCTTGTTAGTGCCAAACAAAAATGTTACAAAGAAATAATGGACCATAGCTTCCCACCTTTTAGAAACTCCTCCCCCAAGGACTTTACAGCAAGTGTAAGACAAGCCTGGATTGATCAATGATTAGTGATTAAATGAGATTGATGGGTAGTGTCACATTGCATAAACCAGAAAGTTTAACTACTGCCCGCGTTTTTCTTAAATCTGCTGTTATTATTCCAAATGCAGCTACAGAAGGTAAAAGTGGCATACACGTCAGTCATGTTTAAAACAATGCCACAATGGATGAAACATTTTTTCAGGGTCATTCAGCCCTCATGTTTACACATGCTCAAGCAAGCAGCAGCGGGTGTGTGTGTGTGTGTGTGTGTGTTTTGAGAAGTGAACAGGTGAACTTTTGTTTGGCTGTTAGTGATAGCCCGTGGGATGTGCTTACCTCTGCAGGGAAATGTTGTGGAGTCGCGTCCTATTTCCCTGAACAAATGTTCACCAACTAGTGTCCCTGTCCTCTCAACATCCGAGCAACTGAAAATATTGTGAGCAAGTCAGTGTACTGCGGCTGCAAATGGGTAAAGAATAACTACTAGGCCTTAGAGAGAGTGTGTGTGTGTGCATACGTGCGAGAGACACATTCAGGAAGCTTTCTGCTAGTGTTGTCATGCCCACATTGTCAAGTCACGTTGATGAGGCATCGGCCTGTCCTCCACTGTAGCTCCTCTGCTCATTTAGGATGGTGTGTATGTGTTTACATCTGTCTTTGTGCTCTGTGCTGCAGTCACAGCCCTTCCTCACTGTAATCATTGTGATTTTCAGTGCAGACACTCATACACTATGTGTGTCTATAAAAGCTTCCTGCCCTCATGCACACACCCAAGCACAGAAACCACATGGGTCTTCATCCTTCGTCTCGTCTTTGTGTCCCTCAGCGCTCATTTGTGTTTTTATATTTGTAAGCGCGTTTACCCTTCATTTCTAATAGGACCTTATTTGTCATACCGCATCACCATCCTGCAGACTGCTTTACAGTCTGGATCCGTCCGTTTGTGTGTGTTAGGTTTTCCTCGTTTGTTGCATTTGTTTCGTCTCACATTGGTTACGGCTCATCAGAAGCTCCTGTCACGCTAAATCAGCAAAGATTGACTGGACTTGAAGAGATGAGTGTCAGGCGCAAAGAGATGCTTCTCGTTTAAATTTGGGTTGACAACACAGCATCTGTGATTCCAAACTGTTGTCTTGCTGCTAGCGGAACGTCCCTATTCTTCTGAGTCTGTCTGTCTGTGTATTCCTTTTGGGATTACTTCTCTTTATAGTCTGCCACACTGAAGACAATGGTTTAGAGCTCATCATAATAGACGATTATGTAAATAATGATGCTTTGCTGGCATGCAGAATCTGCACTGTACGTTGAGATGTTGACCAGTCTTTGCTTCCAGGATGGGTCGCACCAGCTATTTATAAATCTATAACTTGTCCAGTAACTACCAGCTTGTTTCAAACTATTTACTTATTTGGGTTGCACCATTAAAATCGAAAAATATGTGTTAAAAAAACAATAAAAACTTTAGCAATGGGTAAATTAGTTTCTAGGGAATTACTGTTGATGTCAAAAAAATGTAATATGTAAACAAGAAGTCCAAAAGTGATATTTTTAGGGGGGCAGACAAGACGTTGCCCTTAGTTATCAATCCTTTTTAAATCTAGTTTTATTTTTATATACTGTACATAGATGGAGTTAGTAGTATTCATGCAGTTTTGAATGTATGGAGGATATGTGGTTACACTAAGCTAGTTACTTCAGATGGTAATTTAGCAAAATGTCGTTGGCACAATGTTTTGTAAAGTCTGTGTTGCATGTGAATTTAAATTAAGAACCTTCTCAGTCTACGTCATTATTAAATTAAGCTTTTTATGAAGCGTGACGTCAGATGTGTTGACCATATTCAACATTACCTCGTAATGGTCAAATATTTGCAAGCAAATGTTTTTGTTTTTGCTATGTTAGCTTGTGGCAGTTACTGGTTTTAAACATTAACAACTAACTTCTTTGTAAGAACTAGTTTGTGAGATGTTTTAATTTAGTGATGGATAAATCTCCACTGAAGTCACTGTGGACTGTTCACCTGGACCTCTCAAACAGAGGAAAAGAGCAGATAATATTACACTTCCAGGGAACAAACTGGGATTTGCATAAACGACCTGAAAATCCAGTGAATCCCCTTTTTTAATGACAGATGCATTGGCGGTATATTGTGTTTTGAAGGTACAATGTGTAAGATTTGGCCAGAATTTTGCTTTAAAACATTAAAACAATTAACTAACATGATCAGCAGAATTGTCCTGTGTAATAATACCGCTTTGTACCTCGAGTGGTGGAGTACACTAGTATAGTTCAGGCCTCCCCGCTGTAGTTTCAGCTGGGAGATGTGCGCTATGTTACACAAGCTTTTTTAGTCTAATAAATAAACAAAATAAACACACAAAATGTCAAATAAGGAATTATTCTTAACCTATCTTCCTTATCAAACAGAAAAATACACCCTTACAGCTTACAACACAATAAAACTCACCAAAACCGTTGTGGTTAGTCTTCCCACTGTTCCAACAATCACTAACTCTGGTTGAAATAAACACTTAATTCACGAGTTAGATGTGGAAGTATTCTGGTTCTACCTCTCTTACGCCTGACCTCCCTCTCGCTCCTCTCCTGTCCCCGCCTGAACCTGCCGTGTCTTCATCATCACAGTCCTGGTCGGAGCTGCTGTAAATCAACTCTGTACTGTATTCCCTGACATCAAATCTGGCCTCTGTTGGTCTCTGAAGCTGTGTTCAGTTCACTGGGAGGCTGCTGAGCGCGGATCTGTTGCTTGCTCTCCCAGCATCGGGTTCTAGTGCCAATTCTGGTCTCAGTCAGCTAACTGCCAGCTCAGTTAGCCGCATGGCTAACTAGCTGGCAGTTAGCAGTTATGACCTGACATGTGATATGTTGCCCTCATCGTTTTGGAGGATGAGTTTAACAGGTGGGGAGTATCTGTGCCTTTAACAAAATAGAAATGTTTTGTCTGGATTCGGCCTTTGAGGTTTTATAATCGAAAACTGGAAGGTCATAACAATTGCAGTTAGGGGGAGTGGTTCTGCGTGTGTGATGAGATGCATCTGTACAAGATGCTGCTGGAGGCTAAGCTTGCCCGTTTCTGCTTCAGCAAACAGCCGTATAAGGAACCAGTCATGTGAATATAGCAGGTTTTCTTTATTGCACTAAGCATCATTTTCTCATTCTTAGAGTCTGTGTGTATCTATCTTCTCCCGTTTACATACCTCAAGCACAGAATATTAACGCACATGCTGCCAGGCATACATTTTGAAGCTAGGCCACACTTTGGTGTCCCAGTGTGTCAAGAAGAGATAACTGATTTAAGTGTGAAGGAATCATGGAACCTTTCCACCTGCCATTAACTATTGTTTTTACAGCCAAAATACATGAGTTAGTTAGTCTGCATCCTCTCCTGTACGCTACAGGCACCACTGAACCGTGTGTTAATGACACATAATCCTCAGATGCAACTGATATTCTTTAACTTCCTGTTCACAAAATTCCCAACTATTCCCCTTCTTTTCCTTCTCTATATCCCTCTGCTTAAGTCTCCTAAAGGCCTCTATGTGTTTGTATGGGTTTTTCCAGCAGTGGCTCTTTCGTGAGTTCAGCTCTGAAAGGGGGCCTCTGCTTCAAGCATTCATCACGAGGAAGAGCAGGGGGGAGGGTGTGTGTGTGTGTGTGTGTGTGTGTGTGTGTGTGTGTGTGTGTGTGTGTATGTTGGGAGCGTCAGTAGTCATGATATAACAGCCAGGCAGGCTTAGCAGAAGTAGCCTGGAGGTGGGAGAGAAGCAGGCTGTCGACACATGTGTGATAATAAAATGACCACCAACTACTCCGGAGTACTAGTAACCAGTGACTTCTGTGTCCAACTGCAGAAAGTTGTTGGCAGGAAGGTCTCAAGGAAAATAGCAATGTTTTACATTTGAATTATTATATTTTAGGGAAACACAGAACCTTTTAATAATAATTGTTGTAAAGTTTTCTGTCTACTACCGGTATTTGTATTACCTTTGTACACAGAAATATTGAAATTTCCCTCAAGAGCAAAAAACACAAAGCTTAATGGGGGGGGGCTTTTATTTTGGTGACTTCTGCAATGCATCTTGCATGCGCACATCCGCTTTGGGGTCTAAAAATACTACATATTACAGAAGAATAGCTTGAGTAAGGGAAACAAAATATGCCAAATTTAGATTTGAGAAATGTAGGCTGTTATTTTTTTATTACTACACGTGACCACAAAAAAATACAGTAGCACTGAATACCAGCCTAGTTCAGGTCAATTAAAAACTCTCCATGGTTCATGAGTACAAATGCAGTAATGGAAATACATCACATTTATGATGTGATGATGTATTAACGGACTGTGTCTGATTTTTCCTCTGTAACAGGATGAGACGGGAGCCTATGTGATTGACAGAGACCCAACCTACTTCGGTCCCATCCTCAACTACTTGCGGCACGGCAAACTGGTCTACAACAAGGAACTGGCTGAAGAAGGTCTTTGATATGCTTTGACTCTGCTCATGAGTTTGTTTTATTTGTTGGGCAGGTGGAAATAAGGAAATGTGATTCTTTCTCTCTGTGTGTCTCTTTAGTTTTTATTTAGTAAATGTGAAAAAAAACAATTTATATGCAGATTATTATATATTGTTATACACTACAGCAGTGATTCACGACCAATTGTACGTGTAGGTGTACCGCAGCATGAAATTAAAGAAGGAATGGTTAAAATAGTAATAGATAGATAAACAGGTTTGGTGAGGGGGCTGCAGCACCCCCCTAAAATCAGGCCCAATAAAAGTTGTTTATTTAAACATGTTTTTCCTTTCTTTTTTACTGTAATATGTAGGTGTAGTACAGCAGTATTTGTGACAGGAAGAGGTTTTACTTTGTTTTTTTATGTTAATTATCAATACATGTTGGTCCTTTTTATTATAATCTACTTCCTGCAAAGCAATGCGACTCGCAGGAGGTTGGAGCTTCTGTATTTATTCGGAGACCGTTTGAAGTGTTGTTGCTGTGGCTGCTTTGACACACACATGTTGGCGCTCAGCTTTGCTGTGTGTTCTAAAATTTGTGTGAGATCTTGCTAAAAACTATTAGATACAAATGATCCTGGCCTTTCAAATGAATGCAAAAAAATATGTCATTATATAGACTGACTTTCTCTCAGCACCCCTCACTAGTTATGGATTAATAGTGAAAATAGTTAGGTAAAAGTAGTATATAAATGCTTGAAACAGCCAAAAGGAATGTATATCATTCATTTTCATATAATATTCATTTGTAACACATTTGTAACATGGTTGATCTTAATCTTGAGTTCATCTGAAGGGGCTATGGCAGCATTTATGTCTGACGGAAAAGGTTGGTAACTACTTTGCTGCGGTATGCACACAGGAGCTGAGCCAGGTGTTTCTTTTGTTTCAAGGTGTCCTGGAGGAGGCCGAGTTCTACAACATCACACCACTAATCAAACTGATCAAGGAGAGGATCGTGGAGAGGGACTCCAAAGCCACGCAGGTATACACACTGTGTCTTTTATGTGCTTTTGTATGTTTTTATGATGGCCTCACTCTGCTCCAAGGGCTTTAAAAACTAAGATTGCCCCAATCACTGCAGTCAATTTTAATGAAACTACCTACTGCAGCATATCATATGTATATAATGTTAAAGATAAAGTGTAACACAACAGTTACTCATATTGCATTTTTTGCATGTAGCCGTTATAATATGTACTGTATATTTCCCCGCTTAACCACTGTGCCACCCGAAACACACGCACACACCATTACAGTGCCTTTCAGTCATTTGCTCTTTGTGAGTGATTCTATGCTTCTCTATAGAGCGCACTGCTGTACATCAGGCTTCTTTCTCCTTTCCTTTCTGTTCTTTTCTCAGGATGGTTGCACTTATTCTTACATAATCCCACTGCCCTTCCAAACATACACCCACTTTCACTGCGTTCCACTGTACCTTGCTGGACTCACTGTTCGTGTTCGCCTGGGGCTAAATATGGTGTAAAAATATGAAAATAGAAGTGTTGGTTTTGTAGCCAGCCCACGACTACATTCTTTTTTTCTTTTTGATTGCTGTCTACCGCCTCCATGTCATGTTGCAAAGGTTTTGGTGAAGTGATGTAGTATCAGTTTTGTAAGGGTTTATTGACCAACTGGCATGTGGTTGTTGTGTGTCTGTGATGTTATTGTGGGGCCTCCTGGATGTGTTGGCCACTTACAGTAAAGCGATATAAAATGAAAATGCAACATAGGAGCAGCTTTCTCTGTAGTTTTTTGTGTTGTTTTAGTTGGTCGTATAGTTTACATGTTAATTACAATTCCTTACATTTAAATGTATTATTTTTTCTGTTTTTGTTGTTTTTCTTTTTATTCATGTCCTGGCTCCTCAACCCCCCCTCCACTCTTTTTCCTCAGCAGGTGCCCCCCAAGCATGTCTACCGAGTGTTGCAGTGCCAGGAGGAGGAGCTGACCCAGATGGTCTCCACGATGTCGGACGGCTGGAAGTTTGAGCAGGTCAGCGTGCGCTCCTGCAGAAAGCCCCGCACCGGACTGCTCTGGACTGTGGGTTGGACTCACGCTGCTGCTGACCCTTAAATCTTGACCCTTGGCCTGACCCCTTGGCCCCTTCTATCTGCACTCCCAAAATGAGTTTAGGACCCCCAGATTGCATTAATTCACTATTATTTTCATGATTTAATGACCTTAAGTAGGACTAATCTAGTGAGTCTGTATATGCTTTCACAGAGAGTCCCAACAGGTCTAATTACACTTCTAAATTCTTATAGAAATCATGCCACCACAAACGCAGCACCTCCTGGCCTTCAGTATCGTTTACCTTCAGCCTCTTACAAAGGCTTCAGAACCCAGTTAAGGGCCATGTCCTGCGATGGTACTGGAGTGGTACCGGGTACAGCCCGGTATTGTCACATCTTTGTTAAAAACGTTTGGCTTCAGCTTGTAGAATTTCAAAAATATGTTGGAGAACCATTCTGTTAAACCACCACATGCATTTATTTTGAGAAATGTAAATTCTTGCCTTGATTATTTTCATCCTCCATATTTGTACTTTCTTGGCTACAGATATTAGAGTGGACTGAACTAGAGCTTAAACTGTTTTAATCATTTAGTCAGCCGACAGAAAATTTAATTTTTTACAATTTTGATCATTGATAATGTGAAAAATGGAAAACTTTGGTGGTGGAACAAAATGAGCAAGTATTTCGACTTGGGCTCTGAGAAATTTTGATATTGTGTGTGTATTTTTTCAAACCAAATGATTAATCAATTAGTTGAGAAGTTGCAGCCTACTCTAGACTTTCAATTTTTTAATGCAAAACTGTGGCACACATATGTTTAAAACGTTGTAGCTGCAGTTCAGTATTTACTCACACACTATCAATAGCACCATTATATTGATCTCTTGAGTTGCTGTAATGTCAGTAACATGGGCTGGCCTCCTACATTTGAAGGCGTTAGTTTATCAATGCCTTCTCCAAAAGTGACAGTCAGACTTGCGCCTCAGAGTCACACTATAGCTTAAGAGTCACAGTTAGACCCTCCTTCCCCACTGCTTTGGCACTACACTCCACTGAATGCTGCACAGCTATGATTCAACACATATTCTTGCAGAAGCTGGCCCACAGTGCTTCTTGTTGAGTCCACTGCTGAGCGTGTAGCAGCCTGCCTGCCCACCCTGCCTCCGTATCATGCATGAATACAAGAGTCTTTCCTTGCTTTAGTATGGGATCTCAGCTCTCTCACTTTCTTTCTTTTCCCTGCTTTTTGTTTTCTCTGCTGTAACCTCCAATGCTTCCTGACACTCACTCTATCCCTCTGTCCTCTGCCCCCGTACGTCTCTCTGTATCCGTGTCCCCCATCTTTTTGTAGATGGTGAACATTGGCTCGTCGTACAGCTATGGGACAGAGGACCAGGCTGAGTTTCTGTGTGTCGTATCCAAGGAGCTTCACACTGCTGGTTCTGGACTGGGCACGGAGCAGAGCCACAAAACCAAGGTGAATCTTTCACTTGATTTTCCACCCAGATGCAACAAATATAATGTTTAAAGACTTGCCGTAGGATCACGCTGCCGGCTGTGTGTCCATGTGTGGTCCTGTCCCTGTCTTTCAGTTTTTGTGTGTGTGTGAGTGTGTGAGAGAGAAGTGGATGCAAGTGCGCTTTGATCCAGCACTCTCCACTGAAAGCTCCAAATGTCACTCGCCTCGAAATGTCATTCACAAAATCATTCACTCGATCATTCACACAGCTCTCCCTCTCTTTCCTGCTGTTATCAATCTCTCACTTGGTCTTCCTGTCCATCTCTCACTGTATCTCTCTCTCTCTGTCATGTTGATATATAGATATATATCTGTCTCTATATTTACCGCTCAGCTTTTCACTGACACTCATCAGCGTGTTCATTTTCTTGTCGTTTTCTGTCTTGTTTTTTTATTTTCTTTTGTGTTCTCCGCTCCGCCCTTCATGATGAATGAAGCCGGCGGAGATGCAGGAGGAGGAAGCCGCAAAGGATGAGGAGGAGGAGGAGGCAGGGAGAAATACCACACCAAATGAGTGGCTTAGAGAATGAGGGAGTCATGTTTCTTTGTTCCAAAGAGAGGCGGGAATGGGTGAGGAACTGTGCCACAGATGTGCTAGTGGGTAGACCTAGTAGATCTTAGTGTATGTGTATGTGTGTGTGATGTCTGCAGAGATCTTGGGTGTTTCATGGCACTGCATTGTGTACGACCTCGAAGCTGTCACTCTGTTTCAGTAAGCCCAGCCCTTACAGGAAAACGTAGAACATAAGAAATGTGAACCAAACTGTCATACTATAGGATTTAAAACAATCGTACAGAAGGACGAGTAGCAGTAATTGAAATGAATTACCGCTCTGCTCTACTGTTCAGTACTTAATGATATTAGCTATTCTCTCAGTTACAGCCCTCCAGTTCTGATGCTGTCTACTGATGACCTCTGCTAATGAACCAGGCTGGAACAACAACCACCATCTTTTCCTCCATTGTTCTTTTTTGACAGCTGGCATCACAGAAGATTCACATCTATCAGAAAAGCTGCAGCTTCTGTTTTTGCTAGTTGTAGAACATTTTTAAACGCTAAGACCAGTATTGTAGGGATGTCCCGGTCAAGTTTTTAAGCCCCCGATCTCTTGAGTATCTGCAGTACCCAGTTCTGGTCAGATACTAACATCAGACTCCAAATGTGGGTAAAGCCAGTAGCTGTCCCATCTGTTAAAAGACCTTGTAGGTGATCACGAACCTTGTTGTAAAACTCTGGTAGAGCATTGTGTGAAATGTTGAGATGGTGGAGCATACCGTGGCTCCAAATACTCCAAAAGATGGCAAAAACCTGTATTCTCTACTACAGCAACGGGCTGGTCATCCAAAGCGATGATTTCAACGACCCTCTCTGGGCCCCAATTCCAATCTTTGAGATTGGATCGGGACATCCCTACAGCAGTGATCAATAACCCCATTTGATAAAACACATAAAATTTTTGTGTAAACGCGAACATGATATGATATCAGTTCATATAAATTTTATTTATATAGCACCTTTTGAAAAGGAACAGGTCTAGACCATACACTTTAACATTTTATTTGCAGAGACCCAACAATCAGTGACCTGACACGTCGTTGCTGATATAGATTGAGCATTGTGTCTCTGTGGGCTCTCAGTACCAATGCTGTGACATGAAATATCTCTGACCTTTCAGTGCAGCAGCAGTGCAGTAATGCCCTTCCCAGTCTGTGTACATACTGTCAACAGTCTTGATGTAGAGAGTCACACACAGTGTGCGCAACCCACATAACGGACACATATAACAACATTTGAACATACAAAGTTGGGTATATGTTAAAGGGAAACACATTTTACAACATGTAATACTGTAAGTGGTAAAGACATGTCTGTGTGGCTGTCAGTACAGTCATTTGCTGTCATTCTGTCACCATTTTCATCATCATCACCATCATCACAGCCAAACTATAGCATAAATTGTATGGAATTTTTAAAGTTTAGCTTGCTATGGATCAATGTCATAATGTCTGCTTTTCTTTTATTTCACAGCTTTTCCAGATCCACGGGTCCCGGATGTAGAACTTACAAGAATTTAAGTTGGTTTTTTTTCCTATGCTTATTATGACATTATCTGTACACAGTGTGTGTGTGTGTGTGTGTGTGTGTGTGTGTGTGTGTGTGTGTGTGTGTGTGTGTTGCCTCAATGGACGCTCATCAAAACAGATTTGTAGCATTGTTATCAGTTCACTGACAAAATGCTAGTTTGAAAGATTACCAAATGACCAAAAAAATCTCACAGTCAGTTGCAGCAATATCTTTGAAAGTATTTTTCAGTGGAATCATTTTATTAGTAGTAACGTGTTGGTGTGTGCAAACATCATTATATTGCCAAGTGCAGTAGTGGAGCTTAGTAAATGATAACCAAAGATCCAGATTAAAGCTGGCTAAGCCAAGGTGCTGAACCAACATATGATGATATGATATAAAATCAGCCTGAAGTATCTGATAAATGGCGAATGGTGTGTAAGGATCAGAGTAATTCTGTGCTCCGCAGTTTTTGACTACTACATTTCCTAATGTTAGTACAGATGGAGGTATTAATCAGTTAATTGAAATTAACTTAAATATTTCAGATCATCCCAGTGATGGATGCCGTTGTCCCCCAAACTTTAGACCATTGTTCCATTAGGCTTCTCATTTATCTTATTTTGGGGTAGAAGTTTTCTCCAGAAAGAAAAACCCCTTGACCTTGGAACCAAAACTACCACAGTGATCCCACTAGCTGCTGACTGCAAAGATTTCAGCTAGAACCAACTTTACTTGGTCATGCAGATTGAAGGAAATAATGATGTAATAATTTAATTATTTGGCAGTGTGCACTGCATACAAACACTAAAACCACCTGTTTTATTTACAAATGTCCTCAGATGTGAGTACATCTTTGGTTCTGAACTGACATACCCGCTTGCAGGTCTAGTTATTTGCTCTCAATGTGAACATGGGTTAACGCTGGTTTGATCTTGTGATATTTGTTGTTAGTTTAGCCATTAATTGGTTCTATTGGTGTTTATTGATAGATGGAAACAGTGTAGCTGGAGACATTATTTACCTATTTGGCTTAAGCGAGACTGTCAGAGACCAAAAACAGTCACTGTCCAACAGAGCTCAAAGCAAGAGCAGCCAGCGCACACACACTGCACTGACTGAAACACACACCTTTCTACATTTTCCCCTGCACCTACACACCTGCATCACCTCATGCTGATGCATGCTCAGCTGCATAGTCGTCTCAGTCTGTCACCCTGGCTGGGATCCAGAGCCAGCTTTGGCCCTGGCTGACAGAGATGTTGGCATGAGTTCGGACAGGCTGTAACAGAGTCACGGAGAAAGGCAGGAGGGAGGGAGATGGAAATGAGGAGGAGAAGGTGAGACAGGAGAGTGAGATGTATCTCCATTTTGTAATAGCGGTAGTCACAAAATGTCCACTGTCATTGTCTTTATTAAAATAAGGAACAGCACTTCACTTTCTCACAGTGGGCAGATCTGCCGCAGTGCAGGTGTATGATTGAAAAGGGTTTATGAAGCGGTTAGTTAGCTAACATGTGACTTTTAACAGCCTCTATTGGTAGCTTGTAGGAACTGCACCACAGCTCAGATTTGTATCCCCTGCACAAGTGTGTGGCACAAACCCTGACAGCAGCTTGTGAAATGGTGTGCAGTGAACTTCATTTCTAGGTGTCCTTCAGCAAATACACTTGCCACAAGGTTTTAACAGCACATTACTGGTAAAACTCAAGAGGTGTAGTTGTTGAATGCTGGAAAATAAAGGCTTCTACGTAGCTTAAAAAGAACAGGGTGTTTTTAACAACAGGTAATAAGATGTGTAAATACACATTTAGCCTAGAATATGTCTACAATAGCCCAGTATCATGTTGTAGCTTAACATTTTACCAAACAAAACATATAACACGTTGTAGAACAGATGCAAATAGATACGGGGCAGGACGCAGGGAAGCATTTCTTGGAGGCATAAATAACTAAAATATTTGAGTTGAACCACAGTGGATAGAGCATAACAACAGTAGAAATATAACAAAAAAGGGAATGGATGAAATGGTAACCGTACAAAGTTAGCTAGGTTATCTAGCTAGGCCAGTAGACATTCCAAAGTGAAGTTAGCTGTGCTAGCCGTATTAGCTATACTGGCTAACAGCTGTCTAGATAAGGCGGTTAACAGCATTCCAGCATCTTGTACGATGAATGAGTGGGAAAAGAGGGCAGGGCTGTCTTCATTTATGTTCATAAATATACAATTTATTTTTTTAAAGGGCTAACTTCTTAAAACAGCCCTGCGCTGTAGTTTTTAATCACAGAGTAAAACACATATGGTGGGATAAATTCATAGTTTTTTATGGAATTTGTTGACCAAAAGAAACATGAAATATCACGTGCCCTTTAAAGCCATCCTGCAGTAACCCTAAAAAATCTGCAGCTCTTTGGCCCTGCCCACTGAGGTTTAGCTCAAGCAGAGAGGTTATTTCTGCCTCTGAGATTTCTGCAGCCATATTGAGTGTTGGCTGTCAGCGGCTTATGTCTGCCCCACCCCCCTGCTGTATAGCTCCTGTGTAACACACTGAAGGGAAACACACAAATACGCTTATACAGGCAATAAGCAGGTAGTCACAATGTGAGACAATCTAGAATTAAGATCCTGGTTGGCATTTTTGATAACATTTTGATAACTGAATCTGGAAAAAAAAATGCAAATACAATATTGTGTGTTTGTGTGTGTGCGTACATGACGTAAAGTGTGCCGTCCATTTTGAGTGTAAAATAGAAACAGATATCCTGGACCTTTTAAGGTTTCTTGCAATACCTTATTAGCTGGATTAGCAGAGTACAGTAAATGTTAAAATAGTGACTCGTGCTTATGATAATCAGAACAGTGATATTAGCAGGAGGGAGAAGACTGAAAGAGACACGACTGAATTTATTGGTTTATTACTTTTTCTTGTGGCTCTTTTAACTTGGATCATTCGGTGCCTTGAGTTCAAGCAGCAAAACTAACGTGTCAGAAGACAGTCGTGTGAAAATGATCTTCACATGATCATTACATGCATTATTTTTAAAAACAGCTGTATTAATATTTTAGTTGACGAATGGGTAGTTTACAGTCTCACTGGGAGTCCAGGTTTGGCATTTGTGTAAAATGTGCGTCTTTGCTCTGAGAATTTTATTTTTCATACGGCTTTTCAAAGAAGGTACACAGCGTGCAGCTCCACGTGTGAGTGGAAGCTGTTTCATGCGGCTCCTGTTGAAGGTGTAAGCTGTTTTGTATAAAATGTCTTGCCTTTTTTAAATTTTTTTTGTACATTCAGTTGTCTAATTTATTCTCAAGGTTTTTTTTTGAATGTTACACAGTAAAAATAATTTGAAAGAACTTTTTTTTAGTGGGAGGGTGTAAGATCATCTTTGGGGGAGCTTTGCTTTTTTCTACTTGATGACTAGCTTTTATTTTTAAGTAACTGATGATCGTCAACAGTATATAGAAATATATTAATCAGGTTATTGAAATATGCTAGTTTTTAGTTCACATAAATGCTGTTAAACAGACATTTCCCCAAGAACAGTGTAGTTTTCCTCTCAAATGAAAATGTGTTACCAATAGGTCAGTGACACGTCCAGTTAACTTTTTTTTTCTTGTTCACTATTTGTTGAATAGTGTTTCTGCTGTACAGCTGGGTGTGTTTTCACATAGCATTTGATGTGTAAATGTCTAAATAGTATTCTTTCATTATTCTGTGCAAAAAAACCCCAAAACAATCTGTCAGGCAGCTGTTGATAGAAAAATATTTTTATCTGATGCTGGAGTTTCTTTCTTCTGCTGTCCATAGAGCCTTGGTGTCTGTATACATAAAACAAAACTGTGTGACACATGCATTGTAACGCCTCAGATGAACCTGTGCAGGCTTCAAGAAACGCTTTCAATGAACTGTTTTTCATCAGGACCTGCACAATGTACAACATTTTCAACAATGTGATAAAAGGTTTTTTTTTTAATGCAATGTAAATGAATGTCACCATTCTCAACAAAAATAAATCTTTGTCCTTTGACAAAAATCTCGTTTCTTGGAGGCACGCATCACGTTACAACAATGACACCGTCATAATGAGCCCACATGTCACTGTACTCTGCTATTTAGTTCTACGTCTGAAATAACTCAAAAGTAGTTGTCATTTGGGGAAAAAAAATATAAATGCATATAAAGTAATTCGTACAAGTACATACAAAACATGGCTTGAATTGATCAAACTTAAAGATACTAGTAAAAATCAGTTTCTCCTACTCACAAACGTAAGGCTAAAAGCTATTTATCAAATTTTTAACTACTAAAACATCTTACATTTAAGGGAGTACAAAAGGTCTTAAGTTGGTTAAGAGTAGATTGTAGATGACAGACAGAGGTGAGTACATGCCTTCTGTTTGGGAGTGAGAATGAGGTTGTTTTAGCCTGTTATTTGCATTTTATTTGAACTTTCAATAGGAAGTTGCACCACTTTTTTGCATTTATCAATATCTTTCCATCCATCTTCATTTTCTGCACCGTCACCAGCTTTGTCCTTTCTGCAGCAGTTTATTTTATTATAAATATTGTAGATGATTGTTAATTTCACATGATAATTGCTGAAGGGAAAAACAGGACATATTAGGGCAATTTAAAGATATTTAAATCACATACATTACATGTACGTTAAATCCTTATGTCTGGTTGGTTATTTCTACACAAAGCATCCATTATAGCTCTATACAGTCCATTGCTGTAAATAAGAGTAAATTGTTTGATAAAAGTGTCTCTCACTCAGTAAAGAACATTTTTACTTTTACAAACATGTCATAGAACTCATTTTATAACAAAGGTCAAGTCGCTGCTTGACTCCCTGTTATCTTCACATCTGTGCACATCTAACCAGGGATTCAATAAGGAGAACAAAAAAAGCAAGGACAAGGCAGGAGAACCTCATTCCTAATGCAGAGTCATGTCAGCTGCACATCAGAAATATATCCTGGAATAAAACCAAGCACTTATCACATCCTTGTCCATCTTATGCAACTACTGGCAAATACATCCGTACCGAGACTTTTAGATCTTAAAGAAGGCTCTTATTTTGTAATGTGTATGTAAATGCATAGTGCACAGTGCTATGGTCTTTTCTTCCCTCTCTGCCTCTACCGGCTGGTTACTTTCCAACTCTTACTTAATAGTGTAATAACATCCAGTCATATTATGGCAGTGATGTACTCTACAGTAGGTTTGTACTAGAGGAAGGTACTGAGTGTGTTATCCACAATGGCCAGATGCAGGTACTCAGGGTGGTCGCTCTCAGACTCCACCTCTGACTCTTGGTCCTTGTTGTCTTCCTTAGTCTGGCTCGCAAGTGGCTTCTTCCTCCGGACAGAGCCTCGAGAGCGGCGCTCCAGACATGACAGGATCATGTGGGCGAGGTCCTGCTGGAGCCGCTGGAAGTTCTCCCTGTGAAAGCAGGAACCAATTTTGAACAAGTCAGTCTCAAGCTACAGTAAATGTGGAGTAAAAGTTTAAATATTGAATATTATGGTACATAAGTGTTGATTAGTGGACTTTTAAAAAGGTGCTGGGAGTCAGATTCTGTTACTACTGAACAGAGCCAGGCTAGCTGTTTACCACTGCTTCCAGTCTTTATGCTAAGCTATGCTAACCAGCTGCTGGCTGTAGCATCATATTTACTGTGTAGAAATGAGAGAGTCATTTAACCCTTGGAATGAACGCTAATAAGCGTATTTCCCAGAACAATCTAGCATTGTTGTGAGTGGCCTACATATTCCAAAAAACAAAAAGGCCTCTTGTAGCCTGCCCACAATGACTGTGATGCAATATTTACACTGAAACTAATTCCAGCAGGAGGAAGGTTTGCTTACGTTGTGGGTGGAGCTGGGAGGTTGTAGTCTTCGCCCGTCTCACCTGTCAACCAGTAGGTTGTCTCTGTGCCTTTACCCTTGGAAAACGCACACACACCCACGTTTACATTTTGCATCCATGTGTGACAGTCTGCAGACATTCACACTTCTAAATTCATTCACTGGTCTGACATTGAATGAAAAGGCCCACCTTTACCTTCAGATATGTTTCCCCCCTGATCTCATACTCAAACTTGCGGTCTGTCCTCTGCAGGATATTTATTGTGGGCTGACTGACGTGGATCCGCAGGGCTGGATGATATTAAAAGATTTAAAAACAGCCATCATTTGTTTGTTTTTTACCCAAGCAAGGCTGTGGTGAAATTATATAATTAGGTTGATTGGTAGCTTTTGTAATAGCACAGGAGTAATGAGCAGCCATTACTATTGCAACATAATTAGACCATACTATCTGGCAGCATGAATGTCATCATCAGTCAGCTCTTTAAATGTCTCTTGGTATGCATATATTTATATCTCCACTCACGGTGTCCTGTAGACTCCATTCGAGATGCTGTGTTGACCGTGTCTCCAAATAAACAATATCTGGGCATTTTTATCCCCACAACACCTGCTGCACAGGGACCTGGACACAGATACGCCAACACACCAATATTCAGGTAGTTTTACATCATGGATTACAACCGTTTACAAGATGAAATGAGTGGAAAGATCAAAGGGAGGTCAATTAACTGTGCAAAGAGTTTTGGAAGGATAAAGTACATAAATAAAGGATAAAGTACAGCCCAGTGTTTTGTGTGGTGTACCTGAGTGAACGCCGATGCGAATCCACACAGGGATACCGGGCAGGTGCCGGAGCTGGAAGGTACCCATGAAGGCCAAGATGTCCAGCGCCATGCGGCAGATATCCACCGCATGCCTGTTCCCATTTCGCTCAGGAAGCCCGGAGGCCACCATGTAGGCATCGCCAATCGTCTCTACCTGAAGGTAGATGGATGAAATGATTATTTCTGAAGTCAATCTATCAGTCTATCTACTAGATTTCACCTTTGTCAGTACCTTGTATACATCGTGGTGGTCGACGATGCTATCAAAGCCTTTGTAGATGTCGTTGAGCATGTCCACAACTTCCATCGGTGTGCTGTACTGGCACAGAGTGGTGAAACCGACGATGTCACTGAAATATATTGTCACTTCCTCGTACAGCTCTGGCTCCACCACACCAGTCTCCTTCAGGCTTTTCACCACTGGGCTAAAGAGAGAAACATACACAAAGACAGACGAAGCAGAATGAGCTACCTGTGCTTTCATTCCAGTCAAATCAGCTAAACTGGTGGATCTTTTTTCAGATGTACTGTCACATAGTGCGGCCAGATTGACCGGTTTTCTGATCAACAGTTGTTGCTCATGGAGGCCATTAAGAGAAGCTACATTAAAACCCTTAGCGCCCAATTGCCGCAATTGTGTCAAAAATCAGAGTCGTAACTCAGTCAAATCTTAACACACAGGCATGAAACACATATTTTTAGATTAACTGTGAACACTGTTCAAGTATATCATTATGTCTGATGTCCTAAACAAACATCCATAAACCCATTTAGAAATCACAGAAAATAGGTGCACCTCATAACTGCAGAGTTTGCACGAGAACCAGTCACATGTTTAGGTTTTCTTTTGTATCAGAGTAATCCAGTGAGAGTTGTCAGTACATCCAATGGTACATAGCTAACTGCTAATAGCTAATTAAGGGTAATTTTACAAACTACAAACAGCTAAAAAACAGGGCTCAAGTTCTTGCTAAATCCATGAAAGCATTATACTTCCTGTTTCATGTAGAAGTATACATCTTACTGTTTTAGTGGCATGTAGTGGTGAGGGTTGTGAAATGCAACCAACGACTCACTCACTGTTCACCCCTCCCTTTGCAAGGAGAAGCTACGGTAGCTGACATGCTCTGTCGGCTCTTGTGCTGAATACATGTAGGCCTCCATTTTTCCAAATTTCTCTTCTATTCTTATTTCTAATAAACCAGACGACTGCTACTACTTCTTCTTCTTCCTTCTTCTTCGTGCGTATTCACCGTACTCAGGGTATGAACTACGGGGGAGCCAGGGGGAGCTTAGCTCCCCTTGATAAGACATCAGCTCCCCTAAAAGCATGATTTGTGATATTTTGGGGAGTCTCTAAAATATTGACAGCATGCTTTATTGACATTAATCTCTATATTTCTCTATCATCATGGATCATGCAGAGCGTCAGACTTCATCCAGCCAGAGGGAACGACCACCGACCGTCCGCAGTGGGCCAGTCGCTCCATGACCTCCTGGTCCTGCTCCACCCCACTCCCTCTCTGGTACAGGTTGTGTGGCTAGTATGCCTGACACAATGTGAACGGTACATGATCCATGCACTACTGCAGCTGGGGGCTCTCTGCAGCGCCACGCAACTTTCAAAATTCTTCATCATCATTATTATTATTATTATAAGACTAACGTGCCTGATACTTTCACAATCAGCCTCAGGCCTACATGCTTGCCACTATTAATGATTCAGCAGTAAGAATCATAGTCTGCTCCCGCCCCCCCATGATGCTGTTGTTTGGAAAGTCGTGGGATTCTACTGTATGTTTGAATATTTGCATTCAGCACAAAAACCCGTTCATACATGTGTGATACATGCATGATTTGGGTCAGTGTGTCTAACAAATGTGGTATGCTCCTTTAAGTGTAAACAGACCCAGGAAGCAGCATGAAGTTGAGGCAGTCTGCTCGGTCCCTCTCAGCTTTGTAGAGGGCCGTTCTCTCTTCTACCAGGTGCTCCAGGTTTCTGGAATACATCTGCAGCCGTCTGATCATGTTATCCATGTAGCTCTCATTGTCCTGGTTATGAATTTTACTAGGGACAAACAAGGGAAGGGGGGGGGGGGGGGGGGGGGGGGGGATATAATATAAACTAACTATAAATATTTAATACATTTTTCATTGATTCTCATTGATTCTATAAGCAAAACATGGCTATTGATCACATCTCTGATGCAACAACAGCCCGTGAAAGTAGAGACAGTCATTACCTGATGATCTTCCCCAGACTGTTTTCTACCTTCTTAAAGTCAGGTCTTTTTTCTGGATCCTCATCCCAACAGCTTTTTATCAACATGTACACCTAGGAGACAGAGGACACAAATCTTTAAAAACATATGAGACAATAAACACACAATCGCAGCTGAAGTTGCCACTTAACCAGCATAAACTCACCTCTAATTCATTCTCTGAAGCTGTCTCAAAGTTAAGATCAGGTCTAAAGTAGGACATGATGACCCTGGACAGCTTTTCTTTTAGGAAACACACAGACATTAGTTCCCCATGAAGTTACTTACAACATTACTGAGTGTGCGTATCAAAGGAAAACACCGGCTCTGGATTAAACAGGCTCTTGTTTGGCTGCCTCTTGCACAGAAAATTTATAAATATCTTCTTTAGATTAAATGGGAATTGACCTTGTGTGCCTTTCCAAATCCCATTTTGCATTTGTTTGTTTGAAGGTGTATTGGCTGGTTAATGACTTTTAGATATTTTCTGTTGGATAAATAAGGACTGTTATTTGCAATATGGACTCATTTATGTTTATTGGTCAAGACATATATGAGGCTTTGTTTAAATATATTCATTTGCAAGGAAAGCTGAAATACAATATAAATAAATATATAAATAAAGTTTAAAAAACCCTCCCCTGTTATCTCAATAAAGTTACACTGCCCTCCCTTCAACAAAAACAAAAAATACACTCCCCCTTTTCTAAATACTTTCGTACTGTCCTTTAAAAATAATCATAATCTTGTTTCTTCTTCTTTAGATTTTCAAGAGCTCATGTGTGGGGGCTTAAATTTGGACAGGGGTGAGTGTGTAACACCTGCTCGGTCGGAGCAGCCCTCGGTGTAGAAGGTGCACTTTCTGAGAACAATCTCCTGAGCGATGATTGCAAAGCTGTAGATATCTCCTTTCTGCGAGGTGCCCTGTTTCCTCAGATGCTCCGGAGCAGTCCACAAGTCTGAGAAGGGGGACAGGAGTTGAAAGAGGAAGGAATGTAAGAAAGTGATGAAAATAGAGCAAATAACAAGCACTCAGGACAAGACAGACTGTGGTTTTACCTCTGCCGGGGCTTAGGAAGGTGTTGCAGCCAAAATCTGTGATCTTCACCACCATACGATTGTCCACCACACAGTTGGTGGACTTGAGGCGACCATGCACCTGGATGTCACTGGCATGGAGATAGGACATGCCCTGCACAGAGGAGTGACCCACCAGAGCAGAGGGGAAGGTTTGGTTAAAGGGGCAGTGAGTCATTTGTGATCATTTCTGGCCTCTACTGGCTGTCAAGGGGAACTGCAACAACAATTACTACTGGTAATGTGCGTCATTCAAGTCTTAAAAACATCCGGCTTGATATGAAGCTTATAAACGCCCCACATTCAGTAAATCATATTATACTAAATTTGTGTTATTGTTACGGCCAATGCATCACTAACACATTATTAATCACAAAACGTCTCCCACAATTAGGCTACATAGTATAAAGCATGACTGTCTATTTTCTTCACACTTACTGAAGAAGTGACAATGTGGATGTGCATGCTCCTTGAAATTGCTGAATGGAAATCCATGTGCTTTAGTAATCTAATTTATATCAAGTATATAATGGTGTTGGGTATGGCTTCTTGTTAAAGTGACTCACTACTTGTTGCTTTAACAAGTTAAACCTACAGAACTTGTATGTTACCCACCGTGCAAATAAGATGAGATAATATAATCCTTTATTAATCCCCAAGAGGGCAAATTTAAGTGTTACAGACAGAAATAAGTACAGAAAAATAGAGAAACTGAAAATAAATTACATTGTATCTACTCTAAAACTCTTATACTGAGTATACATTTCTGAGGCCCTGTACCTTCAGCAATACTTCTACTGTGTGTGTGCTTTTATTTTGAAGAGTCCAAGTTTAGTTCAAGTTTTCTTATTACATCCATGTTTATCTCAAAATACACATTAAGGAAATGCAAAAGTAACAAAATTGTAGTTTATGAAATACATACTGCTAATAACTGATTACATTAATTTAAAAAAAATGTGATAGCTGTGTTGAGTACAGCAAAGTACAGTCCCTGACACTTTGATCAAGTAGGTATTGCATAGTGTGAAATTGTGAGTTGTGTGTGATAACATGTCAGAAGTACTTTTATGTTTTGCTGAACATATGGCGCCTACTCTTCAGTCATTCATAGCATTTCAGAGCTACATAATGTGGCGTTCATCAGCAGAGCCCAGAGTTTCTGTCTCACCTTGGCAATGTCGTACATGACGGAGATCTTGAACTCCCAGTCCATGAAGGTCTCCTCTGGGTATGAAATCTTGTCATTCAGCACATACTGGAAAAAGAAAGGGACAGAGGGCATTTGTGTGTTTGTGTGTGGATGCCTGTGAACTGATATTTGATCTTGCCTTGCTATTTCTGTACTAAGCAGCTGATATTCTTGCAAAGTGACTTCCATTCAAATCTGAGTGAACTTGAGAGGGAATGTGCACATGCCACAGGCTGCTTACCCTGAGTGACCCCCTCTCTCCGTACTCAAACACTCCAAACACACCCTGATCAAACTTCACTGTGCCATAAAACTTTGTGAGGTTGTAATAGTCGATTTGCAGGAGCTGCAGAGAAAAGAGAAGGCAGGGGGGACATAAAACAGTAGCACAGAGGCTAGCTGGAAAAAAAAAACTTAACACAAAGGATAGGCATACACAGGACTGGGTACACATCAAAACCCTGACATCATGCAATCCACCTGCTGTGTATTTGTGTGTCTTACCGCATTAAGTTCTATCCTCTGCGTCTCGTCAAAGTTCCCATCTGAGTGCTTGAGCTCCTTCAGAATCACAATCTGAAAGCATCGCAGCAGCATCAGTCACAGTTCAGTACCGTGGAAAAAGATGTTGATTGATTTGAAAACTACTGCAGGAGTTTGTGTCCACCTACCTTTCTGTCATAGAATGCACAGCGGATCTTGGAATTCAGGTCTTCCCTCTCGTCTTCAATCTGATGGAGGCAGGTGAAGACAAATTTGAACAGAGCCAAACTGCTCTAGTGCATTCACGTTCAAGAGTAAAGTAAACATAAGCGCTTCATAGAGGTAAAATGTTTAGAAAAGTGGTGAGAGCTGTAGATGAACATTGCTTTGTGACTGCTGTTCGGGTCAATAAGATGTTACAAAAGCCTTTGTGCTGACTTATTTACCTTAAGAGACACGACACTGAGTTCGTTGTTCTCCAGCAGTGTGATGAGATCGAAGTCGATGTGGGACCAGCGCTTCCTCAGCAGACGATCCCTCCTGTTCTGTCTGCACAAAATACCACAAGGGGATTAAAAAAAGACATCTGATCAACCGTACTTGGTTTCCAGTTTTGTACATTTTACACAAAACTTGCCTTGGCTCTAAAATCAGGACAAAGAAATCCTTGAAATTCTTCAGGCTAGTCAGAAAAATCTCTTTCAAGAGATCCAGAAAACTATTTTAATTTCTGCTCCACTGCTGTTTTCGTCGATTTATGGAACATTACAGTTTGCAGTCCTCAATCTGATGGTATTTATACATATAGATCTAAAAAAAAGTCATCAAAACTCATGCTCTACAAATGTTCTATGAGATAAAAAGTGATCACTTTTACCTATTGTTTAATTGGTTCAAATTTGGTAGAAAATGACATGGATTTCACAAAATTGTGTACACATCATAAGTCAATGTTTGCTTCAGGGTTTACTTTCTTCATTTATCCTGAGCATAATGCAAACATTCAGCTGTGACCTGCCATGTAAACGGTGGTCAGAGCTGGTCTACCTACAGTTCCCATGGTACAGTTTTAGACATGCTCTGGGTGTGGTGATGTCCTTGATAAGAGAACTAATCACTCACCTGTAGAAAATGAAGGCGATGGTGGCCACCACAACCACTGTAACAGCCAACACGATGACAATGATGTCATGAAATGCCATGCCTGAAGCTGTGAGAACAAATACACACTTACTCACTCATTGTGTGACAACAGGAAAATAGATGAACACAGGGCAGGTGGCCATGTTATTCAGAATGCCATAACAAATTTATGTCTCGAAGGACACTTGTAGGAAAAAATTCCTAAATAGCATGACCTTATTGGTGCTTGTTTACTCAGTCTCAAAGCCATGATCTGTAGAATCATTATGTGATGAAAACCTCTTTCATATTATTCTGATAAGCTTTTGTTTGATGAGATTAATCGCAGTGAAAGTTGGTGCAGTCTAAGTAAATTCTCAAAATCTAAATAATAACCTAAGTCTATCTGCTACTGGGTTTATCATTCAGCCACTGCTTGATCACAGTGTGAACAGTGCCAGCCGGGTAATTAAAGGCAGCCTGTGGAATTTTTGCCCATGACTATGGAGAAATATTTTTAACAGTGTTTGTATTGAGCACATGCAAGATACTCATTCCTTCATTCAAAGTATATGCTGGTCAAAAGTTGGTGTCAGTTACATTAAAAAAAGAATTGAGGCAATTTACCCGCTAAGGCAGTGAAGAAGACATGCAAGCAAGCTAACATGGATGTGAACAATACATCATTTAAAATATTACTCCACTCTGCAAGTGTTTCTTTATTAAGGAGATATATTTAAGTTAGACCTCAATGATACACACAGTTGGTTTTGGTATAAAAAAAAAAATCTTTTGTTTGTTTACAAGAACACTCCACAGGGTGCTTTTAACCTTGACCTGATATAAATGGTTGAACATGAAAGGAACTACTGTTTTGGGGTGAAAAGGCTCTAAGCTGCTCAACATTTGAACTTTACCTGACTGTAACAACTGCAACTTGATTTCAACCTGGTTACAGTTTTGTATCTTAGGTTTAAGAATCAGACAAACTGCCCAACATGAATCCATGCAGATTTATAAAACCTTTAATAAACACATCTGGAGCAGAAGTTGACATTTTCTCAGGAATCCTGTGGGTTATTATATAAATGATTTTATCGGGAATGGGATGGGACAAAAATATAAATCCACTCCTGTGTCACTCGCTAATCTGGAGTTCAATCTTATTGACAGCAATAAACAGGTGTGCTATGTGTCTGTTTGTTTGCTTGAATGTGTTAATGTGCGTAGGAAGACTGTTAATGATTATACATTGTTGTGGCCAGCTGACATTACACTATCAGACTGTGTGTGTTTGTGTGTGTGTGTGTGTGTGTTTGAGCTGTACCTGTGTCTGGTATGGAATTAGGAAGCATTTTTCCCCAGATGAAGGAAGGGTCTTTATCAATCACGGTGGTTTTGTTGTACTCAGTGTCAAATGTAAATAAAGTTCGGTACTGAGGATGGCATGAGGAGAAAATTACACTTTATAGCATAAAACTGTATGACAGCAAGATATTCATCATTGAAGGCTTTTATTATCGAAGATCTTTGTGAGGCATGCTGACAAAATAGCTAAGAGTAATTTGTGTTTCTTAATACATTTACTGCTAAATGGCATAATAACTAACACAGGAGAGTACCTTGTTGTCAGTGGTGGTGTAAATGAATGAGAGAGTCACATCTCTGTCTCCATGTATGTCCAGCTTGTAGGGTCCAGCAGATCCTGGGCAGAATCATAGAAAAATCTTTACACACAAATATATGGCAGGTACTTTGTTTACCACGTCAGGAGAAATCAGCCTCTGGTGTTTATTTTCTGTTCAGTCGTCACAGATCTACTAACTGCAGTCCTGATTTCATTGTTGGGAATACTGTAAACCAGCGTACTGTGTAGTGTTAACTGATTTGATTTTTAATATGGTATGTTTTTTCATTAGTGAAAAGCCTGACAGACATGCATCGTATTTTGAAGGAACTTCCCTTTGAGTGTGTCTCTCAATCACACGCTCACTTACAGCTGCAGCCTACAGGCTATAACACCTCAATGCGTCATCTTGTCAGTGAAAAACACAAATAAGTGATAGCAGATGACAGCTCCTATCTGTTAGGCCTCACACGCCAGTGACCCTTGTCGACACTCAGGGCTGCTTTCAGGGCCACTGAGGTCATTTCACCACTCATTATTATGGAAATTCATTTTAGCAATCTGTGAGGAGTTTCAATTTTACCATTACAACCTTGCACCTTGTGAGCTCCAGTATTTCAGACTTCAGACTCAATATGTTTTATTGACAACTTTTAGGCCAATTATGCAAGACCTATGCTGTGTCACAATTCGCGCTATTCTATACTCATAGTGCATCTTTCATCAGTGCGTTCACACTGATGAGTAAGGCAAAATGCACAACCCTGATGGTGTACTCATAAAGGAGTGTGAAAAGCTGGGCACTGCTCACCCTCAACAGAAGGGGAGGGGACCAGCATTTTTAAATTTATGAAAATGGTGGCCGAGGAAGCTACTGCGGTTGTGATCGCACACACGGGCAAGTAAAAGTATATTTCTTTCTATTCATTTTGAATTTAAGTCAAGTGAGCAAACAAGCCGGAGGATATTTTGGCAATAATGATCCGGACGGTTACAATTCGCCATTAATAAAGAAGAAGAAGAAGAAGAAATGGTCAAATGTTGCAATCAGCATTTCCGGTAAATGAGCAACAGCAATGATTGATTTGAGACACTAACACAATAACACTAGCCTTTTATTCATGCACTACTCAAGTAAGTACTGAGTGTACACAGTGTACTACTTATTAGTGTACTAATAGAAGTACATAAATTGAAACACAGCCATGTTAGGGCACCTGTGAGGCAGTGCTTGTGTTGTGCTCCAGACATCTTTGAACTCAAACATTTTAGACCTCCAACAAGCAACCTACAGTCAGCTTTCCCACACATGAACTCGGAGCAAATCCATCTATCCCGACTTCATAAAGAGGCAGTTGTCTGACATCACACAACAATGGCAGCACCCATGGACCCGCATGTTGTAAATGGTAAACCAAAAGTACATTTGCCTGTATTTAATTAAAATAATACAAACTATAATATAGTAAAAACCTATTCTGTAAATTGATGTCAACATATGTTGCCAATGTTATTAGGTAGCTAGTTATAGAAAACAAAATCTGAAAGTCATCTTCTCTGCCCAAAAGTTATTCAGGAAAACATGCCAAATGCCAAAAACATGTGAAAACATTAGGAAATGTACAACATTTACTGAATTTCAAGGATTACCAACTGATGTAGCTAGAAGGGAACACAGTTGGATAGTAATATATAGTTATGTAACTTGTTTTCATTAAAACAGCCATCTTTTTATTTAACACCAAGGGCACTGCTGAGGGTTCAGTTGTGTCTACACTTGACAAAAAATATTAGTTTGTCATGCCATATGACACCTGGAGACTAGTGTAGGTAGTCAGCCAGTCATTCAGTCGGACCAGATTAAATGATTGGCCGTGCTAATTAAAGTCCTGTGATAGCCACGGATACCAGATTTTGCTGAGATAAATTGCCTATTAATTTCCTCTCTAATATAGTTCTATTCTCCCCCTGCCCCCTTACCTTTAAAGGAGATGTTTCTGAAATAATTCGCATTCACAAACTCCATCTGTTGAATGTCTGACTGAGGTATTTCAGCTATATTCCTCATCACCTCGCCTACCAGCAGCACTGAATCATGGTATGCAGCCATGTAATCATTCATCTGCAAAGAAAGAGAGACAAGCAACTTGTTGATTGGAACTACTTTCTGGATATAGTCCCCATGAGAACTGTTTACACACTGCTCTGTAGATTATTAGAGTAGAATAGAGTAACACTGAGGCTGGAAAGATAATGTTTCTGTTGATTTAAGTGTAGTCTTTCAGTGCTGTGAGTAGCACCAATATTAATCTATTCACCTCCACTGTATTGGGATGGATGAAGATATTTCAGAGACAGTTATCTCAAACTGGGCAAATAAAACAAAAACTAAGAGGTAAGTGAGAAAATATGTTTATTTGTAATGTGGGAGAACTGGCTCTTCAACTAGAAAAGCCAACTTTCATGTACAACAGATCATTTATGTCATATAGAAGAAGAGCCTGTCTGGAGTTGAAATACAGGAGATGAGTGGATGCTGATTAGAGCCGTTGTCCACTAATCTTTAAAAGGAATATTTGGAGAATTTTGGGAAACACATTTCACTTACAGCATACATGGCAATCCCCCCCTCCCATGACAAATTCAGGACCCAGCACATCCTGCACATAAGCCCCCAGCACTGTCCAATTGATCCTTTTTTACACTTTGTGGATTAAACAAGATGAAATGTGACTTATTGAGCTTCAGAGGTGCTGGTAGGAAGATTTAACCTGTAGAGAGCCAGGCTTGCTGTTACCCCCTGCTTCCAGTCTTTAAGTTAAGCTAACCATCTGTTGGCTAAAGCTAACTAACTCTCAGCAAGAAAGCAAATACATGTATCACCGAAAATGTCAAACCAATAATAAACAGCAGTATGATGAAGATGGGAGTTGAGTCATTTAGAAAATTCCTCACCGTGTTGTTGCCTTGCAGGTCTGCGTTTATAGTGTAGTTTCTGGTGTTGGGCATAGTCAACACCAACACATTCTTCATGGATGGCATTGACGATGTGTTGGTGTAGTATACATCACTGTGGAGAGGAGGCAGGAGAGGCACTTTTATATGTGCAGTATGTGTATCTTTAAAGCATTTTTGGCCCAGGTGGCCCACCAAAATCGGTCAGACACCCCTCACCAATACACCATCCTTCCATTTAAGGGCTCAGATCAGGGGTGTGACGAAACACACCCATGAGATGTGACACTGCTCAAGATTGGGGTCTTGATAACAAGACAAGAACATATTTTAATAGGCCTACTATTTAGAAAAAATATTGATGAAATATTCAACATTAATATCCCCATTTATGGTGGAAATGTCTTTATTTTTATAAAGGGAAGCACAAAATTCAGGTGGCAGGTGAAAATTCAGAATATAATAAAATACCAATTTTAATTTGTCAATTAACAATTCTTGGTGCAAGCTTTTTTTTCAGAACATTTTTAACAATGGCTTTCAACAAGCGGTGGCCTACATGTCCCCAGCGTCCCCAGTGTAAATGACCCTGCCTCCCTGCACCCTCCCTACAGATTGAGCTACTCCATGCTTACCACTTCACCTCCACCGCTGCTGTATACTATATGACAAAAAAGGATGTGGGAATGTAGAGAACCATTTGTGAACAGTACAATAAGTGCAAACATATCCACAGGACACACACATGCGGAAAGCATCAATGTGAGAATAAAGAGCACTGACTTGTAGAGATCAATAAGGATGAAGAGAATGTCACTGTCGTCTGCCTTTTTGCACTCATTTTTCATCTCCACTACGTCCATTGGTGATCCACACATGATGAACACTGCGAACAGAGAGGCTGTATGTAACACTGACGACTAGAAGTGTATTAGCATAACAGCTTAATTCCTGCTTCAACCTTGAAACAAAAATATGTGTACAAAGGAAAAAGTCAAAGGACAGTTTCAACAAAGGTGGACAGTTGATTGGTCTAATGCTGATAGTTGTGCTGATCTCTCAACAACAGTCTGTCTTACAAACTATATCATATGTCTCAATGGTTGTTGAGTTGTCCATTTATGGGGATGCTGTGAAGTTTCAAAGTGGGAAGGTTGTCATTATCAATCTCTGTAAGTCAAATGTACAAGTGCTTTTAAATTTATACCAGGGTTACCAGCTAGCTGGAGAGAGATTCAGATTTGTTTTCTATATCAGGAAAGGCCGTCCCCTCCGCTATTAAATGCTGCTGTTTACTTGTCCAGGTTTTAAGATTCCCCTGAGATTTCTAACACAATATGGAGGTGAATGGAATTATTTCCACAGACCTCACTTTGGACGGTTTTCCTACGGATTGTAGAGGTAAAATAGTAATTTGTGTGAACCTCTAAATTCACTGGGAGAACACAGACCACAGTGTATTTGAGGAACAAAGAAGTTCACCTCCGTGAAGCACCATGAAGTCCCTTAACATTAATACCACCCCAAATATTTAATATACTGTACATCATATATTCATATACCAAATATTCTGACAAATGTTTCGAGTTGAATGTGTGATTTAGCTAACAAATGACTGGCCTATCAGCAAAATGACAAAACAACTCTAGTAACCATGAAGTTACCTATGCTGTGTGGTGGCTACAGGTATTTGTTAAAGTTAAAGGAAAGAACACTACAAAAAGTGTGGGGAAATAACACAACAGCATTGATGTTACAGTCTGAAAACAAGTGTTGTGGTAGTAAGTAAGGGTGTGACAAGATCTCATACCACGAGATCTCACAAGATTAAATTGTGACGAGAATTCTCATCAGGTAAAAAGCTGTCTCGCGAGATTCACGCAAATTACATTTTTCACACGCTGTCAAGCCACACCTTCATTTTCTTATGCAGTGAAATACAAATGTTAACTGATAAGATAGACTCACGGAGCTAATCAACTCCGCCCAGCTGATGCCACACCGGCGTACTCCCTGATAGTAATCAACATTATTGGTAGAGTTTTGCAAGATAAACTGAAGAAAACTGAAGCACAGCCTGCTCTGTTTAGGATTGTGAGCTGCACTGGAAGTTAACATGTGTGGATTTGTGGTGAGATTTCTGCCTGATCAGAAGTGTTTCGTTTACTTTCTGTTTCACATGCAAACTGCGTCGGTCAAATGGTCTGAAGGGGATAACGTTACTACCAGCGGATCAAAAACGTAGCACAGCAGGTAGACTTCTCATCAAATGATGGTAATATTATGACTTTTCTCTGGACGTGTCAGAGAACACAGATTTCCTATGTGGGAGGGATTCTGAATGTACAAAAAGTTTTGACCATGTGCAGAAAATCTGCAGAAACACAGGAGCTAATTAAGTCCAGGAGTTTCTAACTGAATAAAAATGTTATTGTTATTAATCATTATGGTGAAAAGGTGCCAGTCACATTTAAAGAGGTTACTTCCCCAAACAAAGACACAAATAGTAGGGAAGACTAAATCATGAATCAGCAGTGATGATATAACAGGAGAAAAGTTGATCTACAGGGGAAACAGATCTGAAAGCAGCACAGAATGACTGAGAGCTGCACTGACTTATATTCTGTTATAATTAGGTTATAAATTATGAGTTGTCACCTTCCACCTTAATCTTGTGTTTCTCTTTATACAAATAAAAATTTTAAATTTTTTTTATATAATTCTGCACTAAAGATTTCTTAATAATAGTGTTAAAATCTTGTCCCGTCTCGATCTCGTGAACCCAATCTTGAATCTCGTCTCGCAGGTTAAGTGTCTTGTCACACCCCTAGTAGTAAGTGAAACTTTAAAGCTGCTGCCATGTCCATTTGACATATTGTGGTGAACATGGGATAAAAATATCCAAGATTATGACCAGAAACTTTAAAGGTCAGTCATATGTTGTTGTTTTTTTCAGGTTAGACAGAAGGGGATCAGAACAGAGCACCTCATTAATGTCATAAATTGTGTCAATGTTTTCACAGCAAATTCAACCACCATTTTTGAGTTCTGCTCTCTGAACAGAGTGCTCCTTCTGTACTGTGTGTTGCACTTGCCTTAGTTTTAATACCATTACCACCTAATACAGCTATAAACAGCGGACTCTATAGTGCTTTAACTAACTCACGGCGACTACAGGCAACTGTAGAAAGGAAACTTTGCAAGCAATATGTATTTGTACACCTTTTATTAAAGGTCTGTGAGTGTGCAGACACAGTGTATGTATATGACAGCTTGTAAAACCTTGTAGTGATATTGAATACACTTCCATCTATGAAAATAGCTCAGCAGTTAAATCTGACAGGCAGATGTGTGTTGCATGTTAAGAAATAAGACTTACAGTTGCTTGTCCTGTTTTGGGGTGATGTAAGTACAGTTTTCAGGTCTTCTGGTTTGCGCAGCACCTCTTTTTGAATATGAAAGGCAAACTTGCTGGAGTCTGAATCCATTGCATTTATATACCTGTAGAAGAAAATTATTTAGAAATAAACAAATACTTGTATATCTCAGGAGACATAGAGTAAACTTCTATTTCAATATGTTTCCTAATCCTTAAAGAAGGATGCTTACAGAGCACCGCCTTACCATATAGATCAAATCAAGGCTTTGGAGAGTGAAGTGGAAGCTACTATGGCAAAAAATTACACTGATGTTTGAACCTATCAGCATGCTGTGCAGGTTATTCTTAATACTGTAACTTAAGTTATTAACATTATTTACAGTTGTCACAAACTAAATCTGCAGATTTTGTGCTTTCTTGTTCTGGAAACTGGTTCGTAAATATCAACTAAAACACAACTTTTCACACAACTATCATTTAGAATAATTAGCTTGATTTTTTTTGGTCTAGAGGAATTATTCATTTTTCTCTGTTATAAAGGTGCCATTACAATGAACACTAGAGAATCATAAAGTATAATAAAGTCTCAGTTTCTCACAAAAGACATCTCCTAGGTGACTCACCAAAAGCAATCCTCTGTGTTGCTCTGTTTCTTGTAAACGTAGGCCGTCGTCCACTCAGGTTTGATCGGGTTGTTGTTTTTCCAGAAGTTGATCAACAGGTCAATGATCTTGCGTGCCGGCGGCAGGAGACGCTGCAGGTTCAGCGTGTAGTCGCAGGAGAGGCCGAAGCTTCCCGCCGAGATGATGGGCGTACTGAGCTCCAGACCGTTTTCCACACTGACAGAGAGACAAAAACAGAGACGAGAATAAAAACTTTCTTTGGATATGTAAACTGTGTTTTTCAAATGTATTTTAACCAGTGTGAAAAACCAGCACTTACTCAACCATATGGAAAGTAGCGTAGGTGCAGGTGGGCCCAAGCACGGCACATCCCAGGTCATCTGAGTACTGCAGGAGTGGGAGATTTTGTCTGTCAGTGGCTGTTTGTTTCACAGTTAGCTAAGGTTAGGAGGGCTGACGTACTTGATTTTAACTACATGTGATACCCCTGTGTACCCTAAGATTTTCTTAGCGTTGCTCGTATACTAGTGTTCACAAACTAACTGTATGTCCACAAGATCCAATTAAGCTTATAAAAAGTGTGGGCAGTATTTCAGGACCTGAAGCCAGGTGAGCAACAGACAATCAACAGCAACAATCAGCAACACTGTAGTACCCCCTTGAGGGCTGTTTCACAAAAGCAGAATTTATAAATCCAGGATAAGAGATAAAGCTAGGCTTAACCTAATGTGATCAGTGCATCCTGGCTTTATCCGTTTCACGAAGGCCAAACCAGCTCAGAAGGTGCGACTATATCAAGCCAGGTGTAAATAGTTCAGATAAATGGGCGTCAACACCTGTCTTTTTAAGAGACCACACGGTCGATCACAGATTCATTGATGCTGAAACGCATTAAAGACGTGTGCAGGTGACATAGGCGGAAATCACGGGGGGGGGGCGACATGTCCCCCCCATAGACTGTATATAAGAAATGGACGTAGTCAACGTGACGTCATTATTTCTAATGGAGCCGGACTTCTTTTTGCAACCAGAGTCGCCCCCTGCTGGATTTTCAATAGAATGCAGGTTTCGGGGACTTCCGCATTCGCTTCATATTGGAGACGGAAGCTTCCCGCTTGGTCCCCCCCTTAAAAACCATGAAATAATATAATGATATATACTTAAAACAATTGTGTAAATAGTAAAACAATACAAATGCAAACAGTGCATTTAAAGTGCTTTTTAAGTTTAGAAACATTTTGAGTCCCCCCCCTCTTGCCTTACAGTGGTTTGGTCCACTGAATGCTTTCACTGTCATGGTGCTTTCTGACCATAAACAAAGCGAGCGTTTGATTGCTGATGTACACTGATTACTAGGTTGACACTTGACCCCTTTTTTTTTTACAGCTTTTTTTTATTTAACAACTATGCTTGGGCAATCGAGATAAAACCGAAAACCAGTTCAAATCCGTCAGTAGTTGTGGAGCTCCAGTAATGTTAAGTAGGCTGGCAGGGCTGTTTTATGCACTTTAAACATTAGATGAACTGATTCTTTTGTCTTTAAGACAGATGATGCTGAGTCATTAATAAATTAATCATCACAAGAAGTTATGATAACAAATTATTTTTCTATGAGCCCACTCTTATTCTCTCTTATTTGGTAGCTTGTTTAACAGCTTATTGGACTGGAACTCATCTTCTACAGCTAGAGATAGAGCCTAGGACGCTAGTTATTTAGGATAATATGGCCGCTTGGTGAACCTATGAACTTAAGTCATATTTAAACAACTATTGCTTTGTGTTGTTGGCCAGAAAAATAATGGTAAGAATTATCTTTTTGTACACGTATCCATTAGGCCTACAAGTATAATTTTGGCTGTATTATTTGTGTCCCCTTCAAAAATTGCTCTTGTGAAATTGAATGTTTGTTGTCCCCCCCCTACTGTGAGATGAAATTTACACCCATGGTGCAGCATACTTTATTCGCTGTTACTCACTGTGTGTAAACAAGGTTTATGATGAAAAAATGCACATAATATTAAACAAAAGAAAGAAAGAAAGAAAGAAACACGACCGCAGTATTAAAACAGCAAGAAACAGCGTGGCAGACAATAGAGGACCGACTTAATAAGTAAGTAGCTAAAAGTATCACTGCTCCTAACTGAAACTGTGCTAATTATAATGGTAACGTTATGTCAGATCTTAAAAGTGAGCAGTGGACATTAATATGTCACTCAGCAAATTTATAAATTATAACCACTAATCAACATACTATCTGTTCAATTAAATTTTATTTATATAGCGGCAATTCACAACAAGTATTTCCTTTTCTCATAGTATTGTGTGTGTGTGTGCGTGTGTGTGTGTGTGTGTGTATATATGTATGTATGTATGTGTGTGTGTGTATGTATGTATGTATATATATATGTATATACACACACATATATATGTGTGTGTGTGTGTATATATATAGATATGTATGTATGTGTGTATATATACATACATATATATATATATGTATGTATACACACACTGTGTATGTATGTACAAAAAGTAACTTTGTGTTGAAAAGTGGTGGGGACATAACAGCTCAGATTAGGGGTGTGACGATACACCTTTTAACCATTTAACCCTATTTTGAAATAATATTCAATACTGACCTATATGAGTGGGGAGTCCGGCGGTCCTCCCTCACTGAACAATTAATTTTCTGACTTCTGGAGAAATATTCTGCACCAATTTGTGGTGGAAATGTCTTTATTTTTATAAAAAGGAAACACAAAATTCAGCTGGCAGGTGAATATAAAAATATAATGCAGTGTTCAGCAGCTTGTTCTTTTAGCTTAAGTTACTTTTTTTTACATGTTTACATTTCATTGCATGTGTGTTGTGCAAATAAACCTTTCTTAAAGTCTCTTCAGTTATTTAACATTTTATTGCAAGCAACATTTTTAACAAATATAGAGTACTAAATAGTGTAAAATAGTGTGTGTATATATATATATATAGTAGGCTAGTAGTATGGAGGTATGTCAATTTCGTGTGAAAATGGTGTATTTGTTTAGTCAGTATGGATAATAGATAATAAGTCAATGATGTGGTGCTCATAGAAAATACTGCATGATGTTTGTAACTTGACCCTGAGGCTGTAGTCCTACAGTCTGACAGCCAGTCTGTCAATGTAGTAAGTATAAGGACACCCACAGGTGAATAATTCCTGCTGTGCTAATTGATATGTGTTTTACAAACTTTCAGATGTCTGAACTGCACACACTTGAAAAAATTAACAAAATAAAAAACAGGACTTGGACCTAGATATGGAGATAAAAAGAAGCACTGAAGAAATTGGAAATCCAGCAACTACAAAGAGAATTGATCAACGCAAAGCACACTATAGCATGACTGTAGCACAATGTATTAATCATTGTTTTCTCTCCCAAGCTCCCAGCAGATGATCCCAGGGAGAGGGGAAAAAAAGGTTTAAAAAAAACATTGTGGTGTCCTCTCCCTGTTGTTTCATGAATAAACAGTGCACAATATAGCCTCCTTACTGAAGTGGGACTATAATTTGGGAGTTTGATACAATTCTGAAACCTAATGGAAATTATATAGGCCTATATCTTTTATTTATATATGTATGTATGAGTGTGTGTGTGTGCCTGTGTGTGTGTGTATGTATGTATGTATGTGTGTGTGTGTGCCATAGATTTCTTGAGTGACATATAACGCTGAATGAACAGATGAGGGACCAGGATTAACTAAGCCTGGCTGTTAGCCTGGTCTGGAGCAGACTAGCTGCACAGAATAAATCGCCATGGTAACTTACGTGCTACTGCTTTCGTGAAACCGAGTCAAGGCTTAATTCAGCAGGAATATCTGGAAAATCCCCGCTTAATCCACTATCTTGGTTTTGTGAAACAGCCCTCTGGAGTGGGTCCCTGTTTAGCTGTTTACATTGTGTAAAATCTGTCAGCCCAGGGAGGATGCATCACTGACTTGCCCCTAGCTTTAAACCTTCAAGGTACAGACTAACGTTAAGCCCTAAGTGGCCATCAATTCATATATTTATCTTACTCCGTTTTCCTGTGATAATTATGTCATGATCTCGAGATAACGACTGTTGTTTTCTTGTGATAACGGGATAATTTTCTTGTGATCTCGAGATGACAAACCATAGTTGAATACAGGGGTCGGCAGGTGCGTTTCTTTATGATAATTAACGCATCAATTTGCTGAGGCAGCGTTTAGCTCAGTTGGTAGAGTGCAGTACTTACATCCCAAGGATAGCTGTTTCATCCACTGCTCTCTGCAAAGTTTTTTTATTCCCCTTTTGTGTTTTTTTTAATCATCCTCTTCAACAAAGTTGTTGAGATTCAGGGGAATCCAATCACACATTTCCCGATGGCTATTTCAAAGGTTCTGAAATAGCCGTCCGGAAATAGTGTAGTTAAATGGATTCCCCTGAATGAGAAGCAGATGAATTTCCTCTGCCTGGGAATGATGGGGAAATGAAAAGTCCATAGGTTGATGAATGTGGACCAATCACCGGGATGCGCACAATACAGCACATGATTAATTGTGAGCATGTTAATCAGTCATCTTCATAACAACTTTGTTGAAGAGGAATATGAAAAAGATTTTTTTTTTTAAAGATGGTCTTCCTTGAGTATCAAACTCACAAGCTTAAGACTATGAATCATGTAGCTAACCCACTGAGCTAATTAGTGACACTGGAACCATGTTGAAATTACCATTAAGAGACACCAACCCCTGTGTTAAACTACTGTTTTGTTACCTTGAGATCATGAGAAAATTATCCCATTATCACGGGAAAACGGAGTAAAATAAAGATATGAATCGATGGCCAATTAGGGCTACCGTATGTAGGCACACATATTGTTAAAAACAAATATCACGGCCTAAAGAGGATGTAGCTACTCACCATCAGGGTTATTAGCTTGTCCACTCCCTCACACGCGCTACTCTGGCAGCCTCTATGTCGATAAAAGGTTGTGTCAAACCCGTAATAGTTGGCTGTTAGATTAAACTTCACACCTGGTTTGTGGAAAGAAAGAAAGAAAGAAAAACGTTTCATATTTTTTAGTCTGCTCTCCACAGTGAGAGTCTCGCCAAGACCCTAGTCCCTCTTGCATCAACTGTCCCCCCTCAAAAGTTATTCCCCACTGTTTGTTATCATGCCTCTTTGCCACTCGATGATACCAGTGTGCCATGGCATCAAACATAATGAGCCTGAAGCTCCCTGTGGGGCCGGGGCGTGTTCATGGATCACACGTGTTTTGTACTGTACACTGTTGTTGGCAGAGGAGGGATGGGCAGTTGTTTCATTGCTGCTGTTTGTTTCTCAGACATTGTGTTTGCAAAAGTTCTGAAACTGTACGCTGAAGATATAGAGCTTGACTGAATGAGAGCCTGCAAGAGGAGGTGCAGCGTGTACACAATAGGTGACTGACACTGAGTTAGAGACTGCTCCTAGCTCTGACTGGTTGTTTCATTCAGGGAGCAGTGGACTCTTGCAAATGGCATTAGGAGCATAAAAAGTTATTTTTATAAAAGTTACTTGCTGCAGCTTTAATGAGAGAGAAAAGAAGAAAAAGCTAAAGTTCTGCTTCATAAATCTGTTACTTTTAATTAATTAATCTGTCACTATTTAGGATATTCTCGATTTCTTTGTCAAATATTGAATTTGAACTATTTGTGCCTTCCACAGCTATTTAAATTAAACCATCTGAGGGGGATATCACGCTTTGGTGGAATTGCTTTTGTGGAATCTGAAATGTCACAAGGCCTTTAACCAGGAATTGCTATATTGTAAGGGGTCACAAGCCAAACCTGTTGGGTTGAATGCATTGTACTTTTTAAGTTCATCATATGTTTCATTTAATGTAAGTGTACTAGTAGTAAAGTAACTCCTACCTGTAGCTGTCATAAATGTGTTGTAAAAGTGAGTTTCCACTGAAATGTGGTGGAGTAAAAGTATAAAATATCATAAAATGGAAGTAGTCAAGGAAAGCACAAGTACCTCAAAAGTACAGTACTTGAGTATGTGTAGGCTACTTAGTTTCTTTCCACCACTGCAAACAATACGGGCCCATAAAATTGCTTAACTTGTCCCCTGTTATCTTAGAGATTTTATAACACATCTAGCATAGTTAAGAGTGGGACGCATTAACCGTGAAAAAATTTGGAAGACAAAAACATCTAAAAAAGAATTGCAACTAACATATGACAACTGTAAGCATTTTTGGACAAGTTGTGTATTAGTTATACACACACAAACATATTTCATTTAATTACAAAGGACTCTTTCTTTTGCACATTTTTGCTCTAATAAATAGTTTAGAATCTACAGTTACACAGTGTAATCTATAATGGATCTGTGATGCACCATAATTCTGTGTACACACATAGATGTCTTTATGTTTCATTACCTTCAGCAGTGTTAATGTAAGAATCTGTCTCTATGGCCTTCTGTATTTGTCCTTTTACAAACTTCAGACTCCAGGGAGACTCTTCATCCTCCAGCAGGATTACATTGACTGTAATCCCATCCAGACACGGTTTGGTACCCCAACATGTAGCAGAAGGAATCCCCAAGACACAGAACCACCACCACCCCCACGTTCCCATTTCCCAAGTCCTAGCGAGTTCCTAGCCTTTATATTATTGAGCTGTTGAAGAGAGTCCGTGATATGGTAAAAGCTTTCAGTGTGTGATTTTTTTCCCCCAATGCTCCTGCTCCAGAGTCCAGTCCGTCTATAGTGCAATAAAATCACCAAACACTGTAAATTCCAGAAAAGAAATTTTGCCTGATCCACCACCTCGCTGAAAGTTTATTTAACAAGAGCAATATCCAGTACCTAAGTCCTTGTCTGTTTTCTCCTCTGAGTTGCTCGCTTCTCAGATTCACACTCCCTCTTTTTCTCTAAGCGGCCACTCACCTGTCCTTTCCAAATATCAAGTTGTTAATATACAACCTGTAGAGACACAGAGGCGGTGCCATATAACATTCTCACTGTTGTGGTGCCAATGTCTGCATGAATTACAAACTTGAGACAAATTTCAGATGGTTGCAAACCTGTTGGTAATAAATACAAATTTCACAAGACAAGAGATGAACATTTTAAAGGAAATGTAGAGAAAGATTATTCAGTGTTGATGCCACTCATATCAGTGTAATTTAGGCCTAAAATAAGCTGCGCTGACCTTCAAAAGCAGGGTAATACACGCACACATGTAACTTCTGGAAAAGTATCTGGAACGAATCCTGTGTATTAATTTCATCTCTGTGCATTCAGTGTGTGGCGGTAGTGTATGAAAGCTGTTTAGTGACTGTAAACTGCTGGGCCTAGTGATTGTGCAGCATCTTTGCACACTTTTGTAAGTTTAAACAAAGCCAGACTGTATGTGAATGTATATGTGTCCAGTTAACAAGATAACAATGTCGAAAGATATTTACGTATAATACAATATAAAATGTTGAGCTAATTGAGAGATATATTTTTCATCTTTTGGCGGAGACTAGCTGTTTCCCCTTGCTTCCAGTGTTTGTGCAAGCAGGCTGGAAAAGTAGCCTTCCCTACATAGGCAGAAGGTATTACTGTCCTGATATTAATTAACCTGAAAACTATTTTTGAAGTAACGTCCCCAGTTGTTTATTTGATGAGAGCGACAAGGAGTGCTCAGAAAGTCTAATGACTTTTAATCTCCTACTACAGATCCAGGATGAGGTTAAAGGTAAATTGGAATCATTGGAAACATAAACTTTCTGATGTAAGCTTAAAATGCATAAAAAAATTATTGGTCATTTATGATGAAATAAATGCATAAAATAACCAGTACTAAAGCTGTGTCCATTCTGCAAATGCTTTTTGAGGGTTAAGACTTGGTTTTAGGGTTCAGGTTACAATTAGGTTAAGGTTAGGGGTAGGGTATGGGTTAAGGTTAGGCATGTGGTTGTGATGGTTAAGGTTAGGGTAAGAATCAGAATCAGAAGGAGCTTTATTGCCAAGTAGTGTTTTACACATACGAGGAATATTGCTGTGGTGATAAGGTGCTACACGTAGACAAACATACAGTCAACATAAATAAATGTAGAAATATATAAATATGGAATGGAAGAACAACATTGCAGATATACAGGTCCTGGTCATATAATTAGAATATCATCAAAAAGTTGATTTATTTCGGTAATTCCATTCAAAAAGTGAAACTTGTATAATGTATACATTACACAAAAGGTCATTGCTAAAGAGGCTGGCTGTTCACAGAGCTCTGTGTCCAAGCACATTAATAGAGAGGCGAAGGGAAGGAAAAGATGTGGTAGAAAAAAGTGTACAAGCAATAGGGATAACCGCACCCTGGAGAGGATTGTGAAACAAAACCCATTCAAAAATGTGGGGGAGATTCACAAAGAGTGGACTGCAGCTGGAGTCAGTGCTTCAAGAACCACCACGCACAGACGTATGCAAGACATGGGTTTCAGCTGTCGCATTCCTTGTGTCAAGCCACTCTTGAACAAGACACAGCGTCAGAAGCATCTCGCCTGGGCTAAAGACAAAAAGGACAGGACTGCTGCTGAGTGGTTGCCTTTGGAAATCAAGGTCCCAGAGTCTGGAGGAAGAGAGGAGAGGCACAGAATCCACGTTGCTTGAAGTCCAGTGTAAAGTTTCCACAGTCAGTGATGGTTTGGGGTGCCATGTCATCTGCTGGTGTTGGTCCACTGTGTTTTCTGAGGTCCAAGGTCAACGCAGCCATCTACCAGGAAGTTTTAGAGCACTTCATGCTTCCTGCTGCTGACCAACTTTATGGAGATGCAGATTTCATTTTCCAACAGGATTTGGCACCTGCACACAGTGCCAAAGGTACCAGTACCTGGTTTAAGGACCACGGTATCCCTGTTCTTAATTGGCCAGCAAACTCTCCTGACCTTAACCCTATAGAAAATCTATGGGGTATTGTGAAGAGGAAGATGCGATACGCCAGACCCAACAATGCAGAAGAGCTGAAGGCCACTATCAGAGCAACCTGGGCTCTCATAACACCTGAGCAGTGCCACAGACTGATCGACTCCATGCCACGCCGCATTGCTGCAGTAATTCAGGCAAAAGGAGCCCCAACTAAGTATTGAGTGCTGTACATGTTCATACTTTTCAGTTAGCCAACATTTCTAAAAATCCTTTAAGTAATATTCTAATTTTCGGAGATACTGAATTTGGGATTTTCATTAGTTGTCAGTTTTAATCATCACAATTAAATTAAATAAACATTTAAAATATATCAGTCTGCATGTAACGAATGAATATAATATCCAAGTTTCACTTTTTTAATGGAATTACTGAAATAAATCTACTTTTTGATGATATTCTAATTATATGACCAGTACCTGTATACATGTGCATTATTCTGGGTCTGTGCCGTGCAGAAGTAACGCAACGGAAGAGAATATTGTGTACATATAAATATATAAACTGACAACGATCAACAATCAACAACAAATATGTACAACGTGCCAGGTCTGTGCACAACACGAGATGAAACAGTATTTACATGTGCAGAAACATTTGTATCATTGACATTGACATATAAGGGGCTAGGGAATGCATTATGTCAGTGAGATGTCCCCACTGGGATAGAAGAACAAATGTGTATGTGTGCGTGTGTGTCTGTGTTTATTTTTCCCTGTGTGTCAGAGACAGGCAGACAGCTTGTAAATTTCTGAAAGACACAGTAGGAAAAGGAAAGCAAGGAGAGAAAAGAGAAGAGCAAAGGTTGGGTCCGGCCATAAAACCCATCACAGATAAGGCGCTGAGGCTTTTTGTACTGTTTATCTGCACCACATACGAACTTCCACACCCTGCAATACAGCCACTGGGGAATGAAGAAAATTAATCTTGCTGAGTGACCTCACTCAATTAGTAAAACCTCATCACCTTAATTAAATGTCTAAATGGTTACGGTCAGTTAACTCTGGTGTCTAACAGTCTGAGCAGTGGTGTTACCCATTATATCCACATGTAGGCCACACAAACACACACACAGACAGAAATTCATTATCAGCTCATTACTTGGAACAATTGCTGTACGCACGCACACACTTAGTCAATACTATCAGTGTGTCACCAGATTTCCCAGACACAAATGTTACTCATCTATCTACTGTGAACCTGGCAACAAAAGTGTGTATGTGTGTGTGTGCTTTGCTTCATATGCAGAATGTTTGTGTAATTGATATTTTGTGATAGGAAATAATGAGAATAAATCAATAAAATCTGCTTCTTAGTTACAATACATTCTGGTATGTTAATTTGTCTCCACTTTTCACTATGATTGGCCCAATTGGGGCGTTACATATTAAATTAAAAATTAAAAGTTTCTAACTGCTGTGTCTCCACCAGTTGATTATGTACCATCCATCCATCGTCAACTGCTTATCCTGCATACAGGACAGTTTGCCAATCCACACATACATAGACAAACAACCAGTCACACCTTTAGGCTCACCTTTAGGGTGTGTCAGGCTAATTCATTTCTTTCCTTGTTAGGTTTTTAAGTATATTAATGTTATTCTTTTTTCAGTATATTACATAAGCTTAGAACAAAAAAAACCCAAAGCATGGAAATAAAGCATTTCAAATAACAAACATTCATACATATTGCTGTGCTGTAATGATAAAGCCTGATAAGAACTGAATCGCTCTAACTTGAGATCTTAAACTTGAGAGACTATCACCTGTTGTTCCTCAGCTTGCAACTTGCAAAAACTGGAGAATATACCCACTGTCATTAATAAAATGTAACGGAGTGAATTTAAGAGCAAGAAAGTGTTCATCTTTAAGCACTAATGTAAAGATGTCTCCAGTAAAACCGTATGGGAGGCCATGAAAGCATACTTTGCGTACTTTGCATACTTCGCATCGTGGCAACCACCTGGCAGGAAATCGTGTCTCTCCAAATCTTTGCGTTGACTTTGTATATGATAGTGACGTGCCCAACGCTTGCATTGAGTTGTATGTGAAACCAACATGAGACTGCCAGTTCTTGGAGGGTGGAGAGAGGGATCTGGTGGTTCACAGTGTCAAATGCTGTTGAAAGGTTTAGCAGGATGACAACAGAGGAGGAGGCTGCTCTAGTAATGTGAGGTTCCTCAGTGACGGCAAGGAGGGCAGTCTCAGTTGAGTGCCTTGCTCAAAACCAGACTGGTGGGGGTCAAGGAGGTTGTTCAGGTCGAGATGCAAAAAGTTGAATAAATACAGGACGCCAATTGTTTTTGAAATGAAAGAATTTGAAATGGAAAAAGAGAGACAGGTCTGTAATTCTTTACTGAGGGGTTGAGTGTGGGTTTCTCTAAATGAGGGTTCATTCTCGCTGCGTTTAGATTGTTAAGACTTATACAAAGAATACATAAAGACAGAGCTTTACCTTCTCCCTTCTGAACAAACTGAAAGTCAATTACTTAGGAGTAAGAGTATATACTAACAACACTGTAATAAAGCAAGACAAAATCTAAGATAAAGTTTCGTTGTGTGCTAATGACTTACTTTTATACCTCTCTAAGCCTGCCAGCCTGGAATTATTGGAACCTTTTTGGAGCAGTTCTTCAGATGCATGGACTGGTAAACATCCTAAAGTATGGAAAACTCTCCTTGCAACCAAAACATATTGGGGCCATGGCTTAATCAAAGTACAAATTTTACTATTTGGCTGCAGCCATCTGTTGCTTGTCCTACTGGATGTATTTTCATCTGGAATTTTTAAGCCCAGCTTGGGCAGGCTAGTGTGTGCAGTCAAGTCTCATTTTGAGTGCAGCACTTACCCTTGTCTCTGACATACCAAGAGGTTACCCAGTTGTAAGTCACTCTGTGTGAATTTGGACCCATGTTTCAGATAAACCTTGGTTTTCAGGCT